GTGGAGAAAAGATGGCGTTCTTGACAACTGAGGCATTAAAGCATGATCGGGCTTGCTAATCTTTTCCCTTTCACGTGAATAAAGAGGTGTCATACATTTGAACGTGTATAATTTCTCTGATAACCTCATGAACGAACAGAAACCAGCGAATGACACCTGAGGTCTAGCATGGAAATAGACAAAAACCCATGTTACATGTCGGTACGCAGCTGAGTTCATTGTCTATGTGTACGAGGCAATATAATAGAATGGCGCCAAATCAAACAATTATGCTTATACATTCGCATGTACAGTGGTACTCTTATTCTGCCAAATCAACCGAATCTAAAATACATCCCTTCCGTGTTATTTTCTGGATAATATTTGCACATGGCTAATAGTACAAAGATCTATAAGAATCTAAATATAGCGCACTCTCTGTACTTGTCAGTCTTGGATAATTTGAACATTGTCCAGAGTAAATGATGTAATCTAATGCTGATTTTAAAAAAAACTGTCTTCGAATGAAATCCGGGAAACTCACTCTATTATTGAATCACTCAGACTAGATGATCTTGTTTCTACCATTGTTATTGTCTAATTCTGATACAACACACACATTCTATATACTCATTTATGTCTAAATAAAACTAAGTAATAATTTTCTACACGAATTAACAGATATTGTGGGCCAATTACACAGGAAACATTGCTCAAGGGTGAAAATCAGCACAGTTAGTATAACACCAAGTTAAAATTTGTAAGCAGATTTTGGTAACTTACTAAAGACTAAAGTTTCATTATCTGAACATTTCTACAATATGGTGATTTATCATACAGCAGAATGTAATAAATATATTTGTAGTTTTCTTGTAAATATATTTATTTTATTCAAAGTTGTATATTTTTATGAAGGGTGTAGATAAGGCAAGAGGATGTCATTGACAAGAAGAAATGAGAATGATCTAATTTTTGCCATGAGAGAATTACAAATATAAAGACATCACAGATTTAATGGAAAAGGATGCCCAACATGTTGAGACAACAATACTCTAATGTTATTACATACAGTGTTTCATTTAAGTTTATTTCCAAGGATATTGACTGATTGTCACCCAAAATGAGGTATGAGTTTTATTGAAATTTGGTAAAATGATATAGAGAAATGTTCTATCAAACGTTGATAAAATCATTAAAATGTCCAATGTCATTTGTCTCTAGCAAAGTCACTGGACATGCTAACAATATTTTGTCAACAATAAGTTTATTAATACGTATCTATAAAAACACATGGTGGGTGGCTTCAATCTGGTCAATCCCAGGAGTGAAAGAATAAATATAAAAATGAATCCAACTCAAGTCTAGAATTATTTGGCAAGTCTAGATTGCCTCCGCTCTAGACTGAAATTAAGCATTGTTCTGGGCTCCATTTGGATTGTATTTTTATTTTGTAAATATATATTTTAAAACAAGATAACTTTACTTTTTCGACTATATGTTAGTCTAAGCTTAATCTATTATTTTGCGGGACCCATGAAGATCCGGGGTAGAATAAGCCTTCAGCAACCCATGCTTGCCGTAAAAGGCGACTATGCTTTTCGTAAGAGGTGACTAGCGGAATCGAGAGTCAGGCTCGCTTACTTGTTTGATGCATGTCATCGTATCTCAGTTGCGTGGATCGATGCTCATGATGTCAATCACTGTATTGTCTGGTCCAGACTCGATTATTTACAGACATCCGTCATATAGCTGAGTACGGCGTTCAACAACAAACAACTATATCCGTACGAAAATGATACACGGTTATAGACTAAACTGCGACAGCGCATTGTGACCCAATAAATCTGATGTCACTGCAAGGTAAGAGCGTCACTGATTCACACTAACGATAAGAGAAAGCCAGGTCCGTTCATTATTGATGATCCCACTGATAGATATCACCCATTTCATTCGACTTGGGTTTGGAGTGTATGACCACACCCGAATACAATCAGTGGTCCGTGATTTCGTGTATAATTGATTTTATTAGAGAATGCCGTGCATAACAATGTCTTTTGTAATTTTATTTGCCAGAATAATTCAGGATTTGTTTCATATTTCATGTGGATTTATCGAAAATCAAATTGCTGATGGGAAGTTTAATATTTACTATCAAACAAACCTCGACGACAAAAAGTCTAAATAACCAAATAAAAGAATAAAATATTGTAGGAAAAACTTTAATAACTAGACATTAGTTTAACATTTAAAGTCCTTAAGCCTCCGCGGCGTATACTTTCCATAGTGAATACCAAACTAATTTTAACAACCTGTTTTATATTACCCTATATTTTATTTACTATTTTCTTCTTTTGTCCGTGGAACGTGCAAGTCTACTTGCGAGACCCCGTTGCATGTCGGTATGTCCAACTAGCCTCTTATTCCTCATTCTAGCATGTTACTGCAGACCATCCCTCTGCATATATGTTCTCGTATTTACATTAGGAATTTTATGATGGATTATATTATTAATAAGAGAAAATTGTTGCTTGTAATTATCTTCATATTTTAACACATTTATTTAGTTAACAAATTTCTTTTTTTAAATACGATCGTTATTAAAAAAGGCTTTTGTTCTATTATATGTCCTCAACTATTTGCTTTCCGCAGAACTTCTAAAATCGTTTCTACAAATTAGAACTCCGGATCCGCAAACCAGGCCATAATCAAAATTGTATTCCCGTATCTTTCTTGGTGACGAACCTTTGTTACGATTTCAATTGCGTGCATGGATCGATGCTCATGATGTCAATGACTGGATTGTCTGGTCCAGACTCGATTATTTGCAGACCGCCGTCATATAGCTGGAATATTGCTGAGTGCGGCGTTAAACAACCAACCAACAAAACCGAACCACCTTTATTGAGTGTATTAGGGCATTCCCACAAGCGTTTAAACAGGTTCTAAGGTGTATATTTACTATATAGATGTATCCTTTACACCAGAGGTCGTAAAAAGAATGAATAATCACGTAAATATCGAGACTTCAACACGGTTGCAAATCTCTCAGTAAATAACCATATCCACGAGTACATTGCATGCCCACACAAAAACGTGTTGTTTGTGCAAGTTAACGGACGTTTATGATATGTATCTCCTATAGCCCAGGTATCTGTGGTGCTGTACGACAGTATTGCAGGATTTATAAGAGGACTAGTGTCGTGGGATTATAATAGCCGGTTGTGGGCGCATAAACTCTATACCCACGACGCCGCATTTCTCTGACACTCCAGCAACGGGGACACCTGTGATTTGTTGCTGGGCAACAAGATTGGGGAATCCCTCTCTGCTGTTTGCTTACAGTTCTCATTGTCTGTCGGCGGGTGACACATGGCGCTGTGGTTGTGGTATTTAAATAGGAGGGTTTGGAGGCGCGGAGTGCACATAAATCTCACCATTAGTTTCATTGCATTATTCAACGATGACTTTGTTGTGAAATCTAGACATTCGTATTAGGTTTTGGGGAAATATATTTTTTATCATATGTGTATTTTGACTTAAAGGTTCTTATAATATTGTTTTGTTAACTGCTAACCTTGATAAAGTCAAATAAACAGTGATATCTGATTGAAATCCACTCTATAAATAGCGAAGTTGAAATCTGGGGCGAACATTATTTGCATTTTTGTCATTAAGTTCAGACAAATGCTTAGTTTCTGAAAATTAATAATTTTGGTAGAAACAAGCGACTACAATTACATTGAAAGAAAGGCCCACCGAGATGGGAGTTTCAGAACTTGTGTGACATCTAGACTTCATTTTGGGCTAAAGAATTACATTAAGAGCTGGTCGGAAGGGAAAATAATGTGGTTCAGGTTCTGGGACAAACTATCATTAACCTGTGATATGTATATACTGTGGACCCAGACATAAAGCTCACATCAACACACCATATTACCCATCAATGCATACATATCAAATTGAGGCTTCGACACAAACACAAATGTTGCCAATTAAAACACGCCACCAGCAACCTGTCTACGTCAAGTCTTTAGTTTTTAAGATATTTCTTAATGTATTGATAATGTGTCTGTATATTGAACATGTCTTAACCCAGGAAGAGCTGTTTTGCGGCCTGATAACATGCACATATACCACAAAATGGAGCAGATAATATGGATCACCAAGAAACATAAATCCTGTTTGTCCTAAGTTGGAGATGAACTTTTCTTGAAGTCAGTGCTGAATATAAGGTCTGAAATAAATGTGGTTTTCCTATAGCTAATGTAATATACATGTATTTTAAACGTCATTACAAAGAATAAAAGTTGTTAACCATAAAAAAGTGTCATGTCTTCATGTTCTTCCAACTTCCAAATGCTTGTCAAAGACTGGGCATGTTAATGTTACTTAGAGGAGATGGGTGTTCCATGTCGCTGCAATTCAATGTGCAGTTGCATCCCTTGTCTGCGACAGGATCTGCTAACCAGGGGTTCAAATCCCAGATTAGAACTGATCCTGATCGTCAGCATTTGAAATGTCTACAAACTGTCACTTTGCCCGATATTCTTGATTTGCCAAGACCTTCACAACATTCAAAATCCTATCAGTTGAGAGTTGGTTGCAGTAAAGTGTTATCACTGTCAGATCCATGTGATTTTAGTAATCTCCGGAAATATTTTGATATTCATCATGTTTGTTGATTAACGCAACAGTAATATTCACTCTATATCACAGCCGCCTGTAATTATATACACCAGTGGTTGATATTACGGGTAACGACCTATGTTGCCAGGGTATGACGACACGCCCAGTCACCGAGCCTAATCATCGGATCCACTTCGTGGCCTCAAACAACAGGCTAGGGATACATGGAACAAACTGTAAAGCCGGAATCCATCAGGAGATAGCCACCATGAGCGCCTATACATAGATATTGGAGAGGAACAATTGTATACTGACATAGTTTGTGAGGGGGAGTGTGCAGGTGTCTGTCCATATCTCTGTGGAGTAGGAGCCCCAAGTAATACAAAATGAACAGGTAGGGTGATACTCGTTTATTGGGGAGCACGAATCAATATATTCATAGGTGGTCCATCAATATTACATATCATTTCTCCAGGCAACAGAGAGGGATAAATGATGAATTGTTTTCACTTTATACACAATAGAGAATAACATTTTATGATTACAGCCATTGATGGCATAATGTCAACGTCAGTTAAGTCACAGATGACAAAATGTCCACTTCAGTTCAGTCATTGATGACAAAATGTCAACATCAGTTCAGTCATTGATGACATAATGTCAACATCAGTTCAGTCATTGATGACAAAATGTCAACGTCAGTTCAGTCATTGACGACATAATGTCAACATCAGTTCAGTCATTGATGACATAATGTCAATGTCAGCTAAGTCATTGATGACATAATGTCAACATCAGTTCAGTCATTGATGACATAATGTCAACATCAGTTCAGTCATTGATGACATAATGTCAATGTCAGATAAGTCATTGATGACATAATGTCAACATCAGTTCAGTCATTGATGACATAATATCAACATCAGTTCAGTCATTGATGACATAATGTCAACATCAGTTCAGTCATTGATGACATAATGTCAACATCAGTTCAGTCATTGATGACAAAATGTCAATGTCAGCTAAGTCATTGATGACAATGTCAACATCAGTTCAGTCATTGATGACATAATGTCAACATCAGTTCAGTCATTGATGACAAAATGTCAATGTCAGCTAACTCATTGATGACATAATGTCAACATCAGTTCAGTCATTGATGACAAAATGTCAATGTCAGCTAAGTCATTGATGACATAATGTCAACATCAGTTCAAGCACTGATGACAAAATGTCAATGTCAGCTCAGCCATTAGACACATGATACAAATTTATGTTAACACTGCTTTGCTGGATGCATGAAGACACATACAATCTAAGTAGGCCTGAAGAAAACAAATCTTTACATGACATGATACATGGCACACATCAAGAATAGCACTAGATATTCAGTCTCTTCAGGAGCTTCTGGCTGTTACTGAAACACTTCCAGTGTAAAAGATTGCAACTTGGGCATCTTTAACTTTAGTCATACTTCACCCCGATACTGAGCCTTTTGAATACTTTTCTCAGTGGAAGTGCAGTACTTATTCAACACATCTGATCGTCAGAGAGCTCCTTCAAATGTAGTTTATATACAGACAGAAGCCAGATTATACCCTGGAAATCAAGGAAACATATTACATATACACTGGCAGTGATTGTATTACAGGGGGCTAGGCAATCAGTTATTCCACCTCATCCTGAAATGTGTTGATGCAGAGAATACAAGGTTTTCTCCTGATGAATGTTGCTGGCCTACTGCGGGGCAGGTTTGTCTCCAAACTCTTCAAATGCTGCATCATTTGCAACAGTTCTATATTTGGTATCCTGATCATTCCCGGAAATCAATAAAGGGAGTTAACTTTTTTCTGCATTCTGCACTCAGCGGAACATCCCTGTAAACATAGGAACATACCACAGTAAAACACAACCACAGTATAACACAACCACAGTATAACACAACACAATGACACAATACCAGAGAAGGACAGAACACAACACTAGAATAGAACAATAGAACACTACATTAGATTAGTTTTGTTTGTTGTTTAACTCCGCACTCACCAATATTCGAGCTATATGATGGTTGTCAGTAAATAATCGAGTCTTGTCCAGACAATCCAGTGATTGACATCAGGAGCATCGATCCACACAATTAGGATACAATGACATGCATCAACCAAGTCAGCTAGCCTGACCACCTGATCCTGTTAGTTGCCTCTTACTACAAGCATAGTTGCCTTTTACAGCAAACATGGGTTGCTGAAGACCTATTCTAAGGGTCACTACAAGTTAATTTTCAGCATTAAAATAATGAATTGCAGGTTTACATAGGTATTTTTATTTATCTGCACATAAACAGAACAATTAATTTTATTATTAATCAATATTTTGATATATTGGGATACTTTTGATATATATCAAAACTAAATTTTCCAATCCATGACACCCCTTCTGGCACACAATGCTAAGTTTACGTAGAAACAAACTGAGGCGTGTTCAGGAGGGCGAGCGCGCGCTGTTGAACACGGCTAACCGCGCGAGCGCACACGTGTTTTCGAGATCGAGCCCAAGAGGTAGTTCGCCTCGTAATCCAAGATGGCGTCGCACACTGAACAAAAATTTGCCTTTGAAGAGAATGGAACCGATGTCAAAAGAACAATCTTTTAGACTAGATCTACCATCAAAAAGTTATTTTTGCATTTTCAATATATTGACCCGTGATGATCAGGGAAGACAATAGGTCTTCCGCAACCCATATGTTTGCCGTAAGGATCAAGTGATAAGACTATCTGACTTGGGTGATGCATGTCATCGTATCCCCATTGCACAGACCGATGCTCATGTGGATTGCTGGATTGTCTGGTCCAGCACAGGGACATGTAACTAATGATAAAAATAAACACTTTGTTATCATGAACATCAAAGAATGAACCCATCAAACTTGTGATGAAATAAAATGTGTGAACCTATGACACTTGTAGGCAGGGCTGTTTTGATCCCCGGCGACGCCATTTTGGATGCTGTGCCCCGAGAGCGAGTACGCGCCTCCCGTTCAGAAAGGCGTGATATTGCCTCACTGTACTCTCGCGCGGTCGCTCGCCCGCCTAAACACACCTGAGGTCTCAGTTTCCTATAGTTTGTTAAATATGAGTTACTTCCCCTGAATGCTCACTGGCTGGTAGGAAACATGGCAGTTATCACATCACACTATTTATCTTTTGTTTAGTCCAGCCAGATAAACTTACATCAGATGGCTCCCAAACATATTGACAATTCTGTATATGGATGTCTTAAGGGCGGAGTGTAGTTGATGGCGGAGAGGGGCGTCGCTGGGGTAGGGTGACGCCTTCTGTGTCCGGCGACTTGAACTGGAACTCAGCTTAAAGTGCTTCTCAACATTCTAGAAATAAACCAAACAGATAAATATAGGAATTATCACATGAACAGTGGCTGCTGTCTTTCAGTAGCAAGAACTTCATCCTGTTCAGTGTGTGTGTGTGTGTGTGTGTGTGTGTGTGTGTGTGTGTGTGTGTGTGTGTGTGAGTGAGTGAGTGAGTGAGTGAGTGTGTGTGAGTGTGTGTGTTTGTGTGTGAGTGAGTGAGTGAGTGTGTGTGACGTGCGTGTGACGTGCGTGCGTGTGTGCGCGTGCGTGCGTGCGTGCGTGCGTGGGGACACATGTACAGTAGATACTAGGGCAGGGGTTCCAACCGTATAAAAAAATTGCAAACAATTCTGAGGCATTTGATTGGCTAAAAAGGTAATTCCTTTTTGCACATTGTGTTTGATTAGATGAAAACAAAAGAAAAACTAACAGACTCGTCATGTTTCCTGATTGGATAAATGGGCGATAAATGGGAGATGGAAGATACAGTACTGGGAGATGGAGAGACAGTACTGGGAGATGGAGAGACACAGTACTTGGAGATGGTGAGACACAGTACTGGGAGATGGGAGACACAGTACTTGGAGATAGTGAGACACAGTACTTGGAGATGGTGAGACACAGTACTGGGAGATGGGAGACACAGTACTGGGATATGGGAGACACAGTACTGGGAGATGGGAGATACAGTACTTGAAGATGGGAGACACAGTACTGGGAGATGGGAGACACAGTACTGGGAGATGGGAGACACAGTACTGGGAGATGGGGAAACCGTACTGGGAGATGGGGAAACACCGTACTGGGAGATGGAGAGACACAGTACTGGGAGATGGGAGACACAGCACTGGGAGATGGAGAAACACCGTACTGGGAGATGGAGAGACACAGTACTGGGAGATGGAGAGACACAGTACTGGGAGATGGAGAGACACAGTACTGGGAGATGGGAGACACAGTACTGGGAGATGGAGAAACACCGTACTGGGAGATGGAGAGACACAGTACTGGGAGATGGAGAGACACAGTACTGGGAGATGGAGAGACACAGTACTGGGAGATGGGAGACACAGTACTGGGAGATGGGGAAACAGTACTGGGAGATGGGAGACACAGCACTGGGAGATGGGAGACACAGCACTGGGAGATGGGAGACACAGTACTGGGAGATGGAGAGACACAGTACTGGGAGATGGAGAGACACAGTACTGGGAGATGGGAGACACAGTACTGGGAGATGGGGAAACAGTACTGGGAGATGGGAAACACCGTACTGGGAGATGGAGAGACACAGTACTGGGAGATGGAGAGACACAGTACTGGGAGATGGGAGACACAGTACTGGGAGATGGGGAAACCGTACTGGGAGATGGGGAAACAAACACAGCAGTGGGAGATGGAGAGACACAGTACTGGGAGATGGGAGACACAGCACTGGGAGATGGGAGACACAGTACTGGGAGATGGGAGACACAGTACTGGGAGATGGGAGACACAGTACTGGGAGATGGGAGACACATACAGTACTGGGAGATGGGAGACACAGTACTGGGAGATGGAGAGACACAGTACTGGGAGATGGGAGACACAGTACTGGGAGATGGAGAAACACCGTACTGGGAGATGGAGAGACACAGTACTGGGAGATGGAGAGACACAGTACTGGGAGATGGAGAGACACAGTACTGGGAGATGGGAGACACAGTACTGGGAGATGGGGAAACAGTACTGGGAGATGGGAGACACAGCACTGGGAGATGGGAGACACAGCACTGGGAGATGGGAGACACAGTACTGGGAGATGGAGAGACACAGTACTGGGAGATGGGAGACACAGTACTGGGAGATGGAGAGACACAGTACTGGGAGATGGAGAGACACAGTACTGGGAGATGGGAGACACAGTACTGGGAGATGGGGAAACCGTACTGGGAGATGGGGAAACAAACACAGCAGTGGGAGATGGAGAGACACAGTACTGGGAGATGGGAGACACAGCACTGGGAGATGGGAGACACAGTACTGGGAGATGGGAGACACAGTACTGGGAGATGGGAGACACAGCACTGGGAGATGGGAGACACAGTACTGGGAGATGGGAGACACAGTACTGGGAGATGGGAGACACAGTACTGGGAGATGGGAGACACAGTACTGGGAGATGGGAGACACATACAGTACTGGGAGATGGGAGACACAGCACTGGGAGATGGGAGACACAGTACTGGGAGATGGGAGACACAGTACTGGGAGATGGGAGACACATACAGCACTGGGAGATGGGAGACACAGTACTGGGAGATGGGAGACACATACAGTACTGGGAGATGGGAGACACAGTACTGGGAGATGGGAGACACATACAGTACTGGGAGATGGGAGACACATACAGTACTGGGAGATGGGAGACACATACAGTACAGGGAGATGGGAGACACATACAGTACTGGGAGATGGGAGACACAGCACTGGGAGATGGGAGACACAGTACTGGGAGATGGGAGACACAGTACTGGGTGATGGGAGACACATACAGCACTGGGAGATGGGAGACACAGTACTGGGAGATGGGAGACACATACAGTACTGGGAGATGGGAGACACAGCACTGGGAGATGGGAGACACAGTACTGGGAGATGGGAGACACAGTACTGCGAGATGGGAGACACATACAGCACTGGGAGATGGGAGACACAGTACTGGGAGATGGGAGACACATACAGTACTGGGAGATGGGAGACACAGTACTGGGAGATGGGAGACACATACAGCACTGGGAGATGGGAGACACAGTACTGGGAGATGGGAGACACAGTACTGGGAGATGGGAGACACATACAGTACTGGGAGATGGGAGACACATACAGTACTGGGAGATGGGAGACACATACAGTACTGGGAGATGGGAGACACAGAACTGGGAGATAGGAGACACAGCACTGGGAGATCGGAGACACATACGGTACTGGGAGACGGGAGACACAGTACTGGGAGATGGGAGACACAGTACTGGGAGATCGGAGACAGGACTGGGAGATTGGAGACACAGCACTGGGATGGTGTTACCTCATGTAGGTTCAGCAGGCTGGCAAGGATGGAGGGAAGTGACCGCTGGACGATGCCGTAGCTGTCTTCCGTGAAGGATGCTGCCACCAGATAGGACAGCGCTGTCAACACATGTTAAACACAGTAGTAAAGTACAGAAACATTCCGTTAAGGACAAAAGGAATTCATCATTAGATTTCCATCTGTTTGGTCAGATGAGAGGCATTTCTTACTTGGCTCTGTGAGTGGTATTTTGAGACAACCATCTTGTAGAAAGCAAGTGGAGGCAAATGTTCATTGTCTTTGATAAAATCAAGCAGGCAAGATGAATATCATATGATATATGATTTATTCAGTTAAACTACACAACTAGCCCACTGACCTGTGATTGGCTACAAAACTAGCCCACTGGCCCATGATTGGCTACAAAACTAGCCCACTGGCCTGTGATTGGCTACAAAACTAGCCCACTGGCCTGTGATTGGCTACAAAACTAGCCCACTGGCCCATGATTGGCTACAAAACTAGCCCACTGGCCTGTGATTGGCTACAAAACTAGCCCACTGGCCTACGATTGGCTACAAAACTAGCCCACTGACCTGTGATTGGCTACAAAACTAGCCCACTGGCCTACGATTGGCTACAAAACTAGCCCACTGGCCTACGATTGGCTACAAAACTAGCCCACGGGCCTGTGATTGGCTACAAAACTTGCCCACTGGCCGGTGATTGGCTACAAAACTAGCCCACTGACCCATGATTGGCTACAAAACTTGCCCACTGGCCCGTGATTGGCTACAAAACTAGCCCACTGGCCTGTGATTGGCTACAAAACTAGCCAACTGGCCCATGATTGGCTACAAAACTAGCCCACTGGCCCATGATTGGCTACAAAACTAGCCCACTGGCCTGTGATTGGCTACAAAACTCGCCCACTGGCCGGTGATTGGCTACAAAACTAGCTCACTGACCCACGATTGGCTACAAAACTTGCCCATGGGCCTGTGATTGGCTACAAAACTCGCCCACTGGCCTACGATTGGCTACAAAACTTGCCCACTGACCCATGATTGGCTACAAAACTTGACCACTGGTCGTGATTGGCTACAAAAGGAGCCCACTGGCCCGTGATTGGCTACAAAACTAGCCCACTGGCCTGTGATTGGCTACAAAACTCGCCCACTGGCCCGTGATTGGCTTCAAAACTAGTCTACTGGCCAGTGTTTTGTTTCTGGAAATACTCAAGAGAGACTCGATGACAAGGAAATGTGAAGAGCTGGTGATGTTCAAGTGACTAACCATCAATGGCCCAGATCTGTTTCTGGGAGTTAGCAAACAGCTGCCTGCTTTTAGCATCTGGAAGCTGGCGGAAGAAGTAGCTGATGACAGGCTTCTGGGCCAGGAAGGCAGACACCTGGTGGTAGAAGAAGAAAGTGAGTGAGTGAGTGAGTGAGTGAGTTTGGTTTAACGCCGCTTTTAACAGTATTCCAGTTATATCATGGCCTGTCAGCTTAATGTGGGAGGAAAACCTGAAGTGATGCAGGTCTCAGACGTTTACCACTCTGGTGAAACCCACGAGCACGGTTATGGTGCTGACAAAACTAGAAACATAATCTGGGCGAACCGGGATTCGAACCCACAATCATAGGTTTCTGGCGTGCCCAAGGGACGCAACTCTGCACAGCGAATTGCAGCGCCTTAGACGACTGGGCCACCTGTGCCCCCTAGAAGAAGAAAGATAGGCATCAGAAGGATTTGGTTTGTGTGTTGGTTAAATTTGCAGTCAACAATATTCCTGCTATATGACCACAGCCAGTAAATAATTGAGTCTGGACCCGACAAACTGGTGATTGATATAATGAGCATCTAGGTACAATGACACGCAACAACCAGTCACTAAGCCTGACCAACTGCTCCACAAGTTCACCTGTTACTACAAGCATATGTTGCTGGAGACTGATTGTAAGCCAGATCCCCCCCTTTGGGGTGACAGAATGAACATCTCTAGAATTCACTTAAACAAACAAGTTATGGCTTTTGAAATTTTATTTTGACAATGGCGCCTGTTTCAGTATCTTCACAAAATCTGAAATATTCTGGGGATTTATAAATACCTTAGGTTGAAACAAAAGAATCCCTTCTGTTGAAACATTATTAAAATTATTACAGAATCAAATATTATCTTGTTCAAGATATGGACCTTCTTTGGAAATTTAGCGAGATGAAATAGGGTTAAACGTCGCATCCAAGATAATTGCACTTATATAGCGACCTGCATGCACGTGTGTTTGTGTGGCTGCTTGTACCAGTCCAGACTGATGCCAATTTATAGTGCTATCCCACTGAGATACCATGCCGCAGTTTAACATGAATACCCCACTCAGACATAGTATACTGACTCCGAGCCGACCAGTCCTTGTTTTAGGCCCTTAATGCTGAACGCCATACAGGTTTACAACAAAAACCATCTTTTAACGTATTTTGGTATACTTTTTTTACTGGGCTTGAACTGAAGATTGTTTATATCCTTGGCAAACTTAAATGAAATTCTAAATGGGATGTGCCCCTGGCCGCGGTGCTGTACTCTACCTTGTCTGTCCACGGCGTAGATGGAGTGGGTGGTGTTGCAGTCGGCTTGCTCTCCCCCTCTCTTTGACCTGGAGAAACACAACATCACTGGAATTGCTGACACTATTTTTCTCCCATACATTACTTCTATTAAAATTATCATCAGCTTCATCCAGGAAAATATATTCATCCAATGTAGGAAATGAAGGCCCAGAAAATTATTACCGTATTCGACGTAATAAGCGACCAGGGCACTCTCAAAATTAGAAATAGGGGGCTCTTCTTAGAATATAATTTTGGTGAGATTAAATTTAAGGTTGAAAGTTTGTAAATTTTGCGGTTTATGCTGACAGCCTGAAATGATATGAAAGAAGAATCTGTGTGTATTATACACGATAGATATATTTTAGAGAATAAAATTGCCAATCATAAAGGGTGCATATAACAAACGAGTGCGTATTATACACGAATAAATAAGTCTTGTGTACATTGATCAATCGGAAAGGGTGCTAACTGGGATTGTTCACTAGCCATTGTTCGATAGGAATAGTTTAGAAGTTGGCGGATGACAAAGTAGACACAATTTATGGATAACAACTTCTTTATTTACTGTAAAGGCAACGTTATAGATCCTTATACCGTTGTCAAGCAAGGTTGCAACATATGAGTTTTTGGTGTTAACCCCTACAGTGTGAACCTACCTATGAGAGTTGTGTTAACCCCGGCAGTGCTGCGGTACCGCAATGTGGACCCCTCACCTGGAAACAGAATAGCATGGAGAGTGTTTACCATTTTGCCTTGATAACCAAGAGTGAGTGAGTCGGGTTTAACACTGCTTTTAACAGTATTCAAGTTATATCACGAGGTGTCAGCTTATTGTGGGAGGAAAGCCCGAAGTGATGCAGTTCTAGATGTTTACCACTGTGGTGAAACCCCCCGGCACGGGTAGGGTGGTGACAAACCTAGAAACATGATCAGTGCCAACATCCTATCTGTGTGAATCTCGTTCTAACAAACGACCAGCTGAATCTGTCCAGATAATAGAAGGCTTCTCTGTACATTTTGATCTGACACAGAAAGGGGCTTGTGGTCTCATCTACATCTGTATTATGTGGTACAGTTCAGAGACTTTGTTTATTGTGCGGCATTGTTTCCCAACAGCTTGGGAGAATGTTCATAGTATCAACCACTGACAAGGAAACGACTTGTGATCTCACCTGTGTCTAATACAGAGGGGATTTGTGGTCTCACCTGTGTCCGATACAGAGGGGATTTGTGGTCTCACCTGTGTTTAATACAGAGGGGGTTTGTGGTCTCACCTGTGTCTAATACAGTGGGGATTTGTGGTCTCACCTGTGTCTAATACAGAGGGGATTTGTGGTCTCACCTGTGTCTAATACAGAGGGGATTTGTGGTCTCACCTGTGTTTAATACAGAGGGGGTTTGTGGTCTCACCTGTGTCTAATACAGTGGGGATTTGTGGTTTCACCTGTGTCTAATACAGAGGGGATTTGTGGTCTCACCTGTGTCTAATACAGAGGGGATTTGTGGTCTCACCTGTGTCTAAAACAGAGGGGATTTGTGGTCTCACCTGTGTCTAATACAGAGGGGATTTGTGGTCTCACCTGTGTCTAATACATTGGGGATTTGTGGTCTCACCTGTGTCTAATACAGAGGGGATTTGTGGTCTCACCTGTGTCTAATACAGAGGGGATTTGTGGTCTCACCTGTGTCTAATACAGAGGGGATTTGTGGTCTCACCTGTGTCCGATACAGAGGGGATTTGTGGTCTCACCTGTGTCTAATACAGAGGGGATTTGTGGTCTCACCTGTGTCTAATACAGAGGGGATTTGTGGTCTCACCTGTTTAATACAGAGGGGATTTGTGGTCTCACCTGTGTCCGATACAGAGGGGATTTGTGGTCTCATCTGTGCCCAATACAGAGGGGATTTGTGGTCTCACCTGTGTCTAATACAGTGGGGATTTGTGATCTCACCTGTGTCTAATACAGAGGGGATTTGTGGTCTCACCTGTGTCTAATACAGAGGGGATTTGTGGTCTCACCTTTGTCTAATACAGAGGGGATTTGTGGTCTCACCTTTGTCTATTACAGAGGGGATTTGTGGTCTCACCTGTGTCTAATACAGAGGGGATTTGTGGTCTCACCTGTGTCTAATACAGAGGGGGTTTGTGGTCTCACCTGTGTCTAATACAGAGGGGATTTGTGGTCTCACCTGTGTCTAATACAGAGGGGGTTTGTGGTCTCACCTGTGTCTAATACAGAGGGGGTTGGTGGTCTCACCTTTGTCTATTACAGAGGGGATTTGTGGTCTCACCTGTGTCTAATACAGAGGGGATTTGTGGTCTCACCTGTGTCTAATACAGAGGGGATTTGTGGTCTCACCTGTGTCTAATACAGAGGGGATTCGTGGTCTCACCTGTGTCTAATACAGAGGGGATTTGTGGTCTCACCTTTGTCTATAACAGAGGGGATTTGTGGTCTCACCTGTGTCTAATACAGAGGGGGTTTGTGGTCTCACCTGTGTCTAATACAGAGGGGTTTGTGGTCTCACCTGTGTCTGATACAGAGGGGATTTGTGGTCTCACCTGCGTCCAATATAGGGGATTTGTGGTCTCACCAGTGTCGGATACAGAGGGGGTTTGTTGTATTACCTGTGTCTGACATAAAGGGGGTTTGTTGTCTTACCTGTGTCTGATGCTGAGTGGGGCTTGTGGGAGACCTGTGTCCTAAACAAAGGGGGGCTTGTGGTCTTACCTGTGTCTGACACTGAGGGAGGCTTGTGGGCTACCCCTGCCATAGCGCTCCAGTTGGACTCCTGGACGTGTGTTGTGAGGAGGTCAATGTCCCCCAAGCAGGCTGTGGACAGCTTGTTCCATGTGTGAGGGTGGCCCCCTGCAGGTAACAGGTATCATGGCAACTGATGAGAAACTGTACTCAGTAGGAAGTTAAACTTAACAAATTTCTTTTAACTGAATTTAGAACCATCTGAATTTGCTGTAAGTCAGAAGAACATATATTAAAAACAATATGTTACCTGGCTGACTGAGAGTGAGCACCTGCTTGCGACGTATAGGTGAGAATCTGGCCAGGTGTAGCAGATCCAGGTAACCCAGGTACTGCAACAATCATCACATCAAACACCGGGGTTAGACATCCGGATGACACAGGTAGGGACTAAGGCCAGGGTGGGGATTAATGTGTGTGTGTTGGGATTGTGTTACAGGTGGGGTTTAATGTGTGTTGGGATTGTGTTACATGTGGGGATTAATTGTGTGTTGGGATTGTGTTACAGGTGGAGATTAATGTGAGGGTTGGGATTGTGTTATAGGTGGGGATTAATGTGTGTGTTGGGATTGTGTTACAGGTGGGGATTAATGTGTGTGTTGGGATTGTGTTACAGGTAGGGATTGTGTTACAGGTGCGGATTAATGTGTGTGTTGGGATTGTGTTACAGGTAGGGATTAATGTGTGTTGGGATTGTGTTCCAGGTAGGGATTGATGTGTGTGTTGGGATTGTGTTACAGGTGGGGATTAATGTGTGTGTTATGATTGTGTTACAGGTGGGGATTGATGTGTGTGTTGGGATTGTGTTACAGGTGTGGATTAATGTGTGTGTTGGGATTGTGTTACAGGTGGGGATTAATGTGTGTGTTGGGATTGTGTTACAGGTGGGGATTAATGTGTTTGTTGGGATTGTGTTACAGGTGGGGATTGATGTGTGTTGGGATTGTGTTACAGGTGGGGATTAATGTGTGTGTTGGGATTGTGTTACATGTGGGGATTGATTAGTGTTGGGATTGTGTTACAGGTGGGGATTGTTTTGTGTTGGGATTGTGTTACAGGTAGGGATTAATGTGTGGTGGGATTGTGTTACAGGTGGGGATTAATGTGTGTGTTGGGATTGTGTTAAATGTGGGGATTGATGTGTGTTGAGATTGTGTTAAAGGTGGGGATTAATGTGTGTTGGGATTGCGTTACAGGTGGGGATTGATGTGTGTTGGGATTGTGTTACAGGTGGGGATTGATGTGTGTTGGGATTGTGTTACAGGCGGAGATTAATGTGTGTGTTGGGATTGTGTTACAGGTGGGGATTGATGTGTGTTGGGATTGTGTTACAGGTAGGGATTAATGTGTGTTGGGATTGTGTTACAGGTGGGGATTAATGTGTGTGTTGGGATTGTGTTACATGTGGGGATTGATGTGTGTTGGGATTGTGTTACAGGTGGGGATTAATGTGTGTGTCTGAATTGTTACAGGTGGGGATTAATGTGTGTGTTGGGATTGTGTTACAGGTGGGGAATAATGTGTGTTGGGATTGTGTGACAGGTAGGGATTAATGTGTGTGTTGGGATTGTGTTACAGGTGGGGATTAATGTGTGTGTTGGGATTGTGTTACAGGTGGGGGTTGATGTGTGTTGTGATTGTGTTACAGGTGGGGATTAATGTGTGTGTTGGGATTGTGTTACAGGTGGGGATTAATGTGTGTTGGGATTGTGTTACAGGAAGGGATTAATGTGTGTGTTGGGATTGTGTTACAGGTGGGCATTAATGTGTGTGTTGGGATTGTGTTACAGGTGGGGATTAATGTGTGTGTTGGGATTGTGTTACAGGTGGGGATTAATGTGTGTGTTGGGATTGTGTTACAGGTGGGGATTAATGTGTGTTGGGATTGTGTTACAGGTGGGGATTAATGTGTGTGTTGGGATTGTGTTACAGGTGGGGATTGATGTGTGTTGGGATTGTGTTGCAGGTGGGGATTGATGTGTGTTTCTGGTTTGTTACAGGTGGGGATTAATGTGTGTTGGGATTGTGTTACAGGTGCGGATTAATGTGTGTGTTGGGATTGTGTTACAGGTGCGGATTAATGTGTGTGTTAGGATTGTGTTACAGGTGGGGATTGATGTGTGTTGGGATTGTGTTACAGGTGGGGATTAATGTGTGTGTTGGGATTGTGTTACATGTGGGGATTGATTAGTGTTGGGATTGTGTTACAGGTGGGGATTGTTTTGTGTTGGGATTGTGTTACAGGTAGGGATTAATGTGTGGTGGGATTGTGTTACAGGTGGGGATTAATGTGTGTTGGGATTGTGTTACAGGTAGGGATTGATGTGTGTTGGGATTGTGTTACAGGTAGGGATTAATGTGTGTTGGGATTGTGTTACAGGTGGGGATTAATGTGTGTGTTGGGATTGTGTTACATGTGGGGATTGATGTGTGTTGGGATTGTGTTACAGGTGGGGATTAATGTGTGTGTCTGAATTGTTACAGGTGGGGATTAATGTGTGTGTTGGGATTGTGTTACAGGTGGGGAATAATGTGTGTTGGGATTGTGTGACAGGTAGGGATTAATGTGTGTGTTGGGATTGTGTTACAGGTGGGGATTAATGTGTGTGTTGGGATTGTGTTACAGGTGGGGGTTGATGTGTGTGTTGGGATTGTGTTACAGGTGGGCATTAATGTGTGTGTTGGGATTGTGTTACAGGTGGGGATTAATGTGTGTGTTGGGATTGTGTTACAGGTGGGGATTAATGTGTGTGTTGGGATTGTGTTACAGGTGGGGATTAATGTGTTGGGATTGTGTTACAGGTGGGGATTAATGTGTGTGTTGGGATTGTGTTACAGGTGGGGATTGATGTGTGTTGGGATTGTGTTGCAGGTGGGGATTAATGTGTGTGTCTGGATTGTTACAGGTGGGGATTAATGTGTGTTGGGATTGTGTTACAGGTAGGGATTAATGTGTGTGTTGGGATTGTGTTACAGGTGCGGATTAATGTGTGTGTTAGGATTGTGTTACAGGTGGGGATTAATGTGTGTGTTGGGATTGAGTTACAGGTAGGAGTTGTGTTACAGGTCGAGATTTTGAGGTGGATCGGGATTTTGTGAGAGGTAGGGATTGTGTTACAGGTGGGGATTTTGATATGGATGGGGATTGTTACAGGTGGGGGTTAATGTGTGTGTCTGGATTGTTACAGGTGGGGATTTTGGTGTGAGCGGGGATTGTGTTACAGGTGGGGGTTAATGTGTATGTCTGGATTGTTACAGGTGGGGATTTTGGTGTGGGTGGGGAATATCTAGCAGCAGCGGTTCAGACACACACAAAAAATCTCGCACAACTTGTGTAACCAGGAAATGATACAGAAGTTGTCATGGCTGCATCAAAGTCAAACTGAACATTTACACCTCTCCTGCATATTCTAACCCTTGCCTCCATGTTTACTTTCCCATGTATATCTGCAGCAAGGCCCTGGGAGTTACCTCCCCTTGTTTACTAACTACCTGCAGCAAGGACTTGTTCTGACAGGAAATGGCCGACAGCAGACTCTTGTTCTTGTAGCTGTCAAAGGCGCTGTCCACTGGAAACTCCTGGCGCTGAAGCCGAGAGAGATTGAATTGAGGTTTTATTGTATAGTTGAGGAAAACTGAATTTCTTGTCTAGAAGCTGTAGTATCAATGAAGACAGTGAGTGAGTGAGTGAGTGAGTCAGAAATCAGAACAGGTCAGTTTTGATGTGTTTGCAAGTGAAGCTGGTCTTTCATATGGTTACATAAATAAATATGATGTATTCCAAGAACAAGAATCAGCAAACCAGGGCTGAAGGTCTGTATGCCTTCAAACCAGTTTAATGAACAGATTTTGAAACAGAATAATGGCGTGTGGAAGTGACACTGGGCATCAAGAGAAGGCCAGACAGACAAGTTGGACTGGGCCAGGTATTGCTGACCTCTGTGTGGTACACCCGGTACAGGAGGACGGACAGACTCCAGGTGTAGTTCAGGAAGCACCCCAGCAGCAACAGCTGGAGGGCGACGCCCACATCCAGGAGACCCCACACAGTGTCTAGGGGCTGAGCATCGGGGCTGAAATCAGAAAATACATCTGTACATGGGTAACGTCTTGTTACATACCATGTTTATCATCGAGAACCTGAGGGAGGGGAGAGGGAGGGGGTGGAGAAGAGAGGAAATGGGTGGGGAGAGGGATAGGGAGGAGGTGGGGAGGGTGGGGAGATATAGTGGAAGAGGGAGGGGAAAAGAGGAACGGGGTGGGGAGAGGGAGAGGGTGGGGAGGAGAGGGATAGGGAGGGGGAGGGGTGGGGATTGTGAGAGGGAGAGGGTGGGGAGAGGGAAAGGGAGGGGTTTGTGAGAGGGAGGGGGAGAGGGAGAGGGTGGGGAGGAGAGGGATAGGGAGGGGGAGGGGTGGGGTTTGTGAGAGGGAGAGGGTGAGGGTGGGGAGAGGGAGAGGGAGAGGGAGAGGGTGAGGGAGAGGGTGGGGAGGAGAGGGAAAGGGAGGGGGAGGGAGGGGGATTGTGAGAGGGTGGGGAGAGGGGAAGGGAGGGGTTTGGGAGAGGGCGGGGGAGGGGTGGGGGGAGAGGGATAGGGAGGGGGAGGGGTGGGGATTGGGAGAGGGAGAGGGAAAGGGAGGGGTTTGGGAGAGGGAGGGGGAGAGGGAGAGGGTGGGGAGGAGAGGGATAGGGAAGGGGAGGGGTGGGGATTGTGAGAGGGAGAGGGTGGGGCAAGGGAAAGGGAGAGGGAGTGGGAGAGGGAGAGGGAGGGGATTGTGAGAGGGAAAGGGAGGGGTTTGGGAGAGGGAGGGGGGGTGAGGGATAAGGAGAGGGAGGGGTGGGGATTGTGAGAGGGAGAGGGTGGGGAGAGGGAAAGGGAGGGGTTTGGGAGAGGGAAAGGGAGAGGGAGGGGAGGAGAGGGATAGGGAGGGGGAGGGGTGGGGATTGTGAGAGGGAGAGGGTGGGGAGAGGGAAAGGGAGGGGTTTGGAAGAGGGAGGGGAGAGGGAGAGGCTGGGAAGGAGAGGGATAGGGAGGGGGAGGTCGGGGATTGTGAGAGGGAAAGGGAGAGGGAGAGGGAGAGGGAGGGGTGGGGATTGTGAGAGGGAAAGGGAGGGGTTTGTGAGAGGGAGGGGGAGAGGGAGAGGGTGGGGAGGAGAGGGATAGGGAGGGGGAGGGGTGGGGTTTGTGAGAGGGAGAGGGTGAGGGTGGGGAGAGGGAGAGGGAGAGGGTGAGGGAGAGGGTGGGGAGGAGAGGGATAGGGAGGGGGAGGGAGGGGGATTGTGAGAGGGTGGGGAGAGGGAAAGGGAGGGGCTTGGGAGAGGGCGGGGGAGGGGTGGGGGGAGAGGGATAGGGAGGGGGAGGGGTGGGGATTGGGAGAGGGAGAGGGAAAGGGAGGGGTTTGGGAGAGGGAGGGGGAGAGGGAGAGGGTGGGGAGGAGAGGGATAGGGAGGGGGAGGGGTGGGGTTTGTGAGAGGGAGAGGGTGAGGGTGGGGAGAGGGAGAGGGAGAGGGTGAGGGAGAGGGTGGGGAGGAGAGGGATAGGGAGGGGGAGGGAGGGGGATTGTGAGAGGGTGGGGAGAGGGAAAGGGAGGGGTTTGGGAGAGGGCGGGGGAGGGGTGGGGGGAGAGGGATAGGGAGGGGGAGGGGTGGGGATTGGGAGAGGGAGAGGGAAAGGGAGGGGTTTGGGAGAGGGAGGGGGAGAGGGAGAGGGTGGGGAGGAGAGGGATAGGGAGGGGGAGGGGTGGGGATTGTGAGAGGGAGAGGGTGGGGCAAGGGAAAGGGAGAGGGAAAGGGAGAGGGAGAGGGAGAGGGAAAGGGAGTGGGAGAGGGAGAGGGAAAGGGAGAGGGAGAGGGAGAGGGAGAGGGAGGGGTGGGGATTGTGAGAGGGAAAGGGAGGGGTTTGGGAGAGGGAGGGGGGGTGAGGGATAAGGAGAGGGAGGGGTGGGGATTGTGAGAGGGAGAGGGTGGGGAGAGGGAAAGGGAGGGGTTTGGGAGAGGGAGGGGGAGAGGGAGGGGAGGAGAGGGATAGGGAGGGGGAGGGGTGGGGATTGTGAGAGGGAGAGGGTGGGGAGAGGGAAAGGGAGGGGTTTGGAAGAGGGAGGGGAGAGGGAGAGGCTGGGAAGGAGAGGGATAGGGAGGGGGAGGGTGGGGATTGTGAGAGGGAGAGGGTGGGGCAAGGGAAAGGGAGAGGGAGAGGGAGAGGGAAAGGGAGTGGGAGAGGGAGAGGGAGGGGTGGGGATTGTGAGAGGGAAAGGGAGGGGTTTGTGAGAGGGAGGGGGGTGAGGGATAAGGAGAGGGAGGGGTGGGGATTGTGAGAAGGAGAGGGTGGGGAGAGGGAAAGGGAGGGGGAGGGTGGGGATTGTGAGAGGGAGAGGGTGGGGCAAGGGAAAGGGAGAGGGAGAGGGAGAGGGAAAGGGAGTGGGAGAGGGAGAGGGAGGGGTGGGGATTGTGAGAGGGAAAGGGAGGGGTTTGTGAGAGGGAGGGGGGGGTGAGGGATAAGGAGAGGGAGGGGTGGGGATTGTGAGAAGGAGAGGGTGGGGAGAGGGAAAGGGAGGGGGAGGGTGGGGATTGTGAGAGGGAGAGGGTGGGGAGAGGGAAAGGGAGGGGTTTGGGAGAGGGAAAGGGAGGGGTTTGGGAGAGGGAGGGGGAGGGAGGGGTGGGGATTGTGAGCGGGGAGGGGGAGGATGGAGATTGTGAGAGGGAAGGGAGAGGGAAAGGAAGGGGGTTGGGAGGGGGAGAGGGTGGGGAGAGGGAGGGCTGGGGACAGGAAGAGGGAGGGGAACACTTTGATTATGATCAATTCCAGACTTTTCAAGGCGTTTTGTCTGAATTCCAGGCCTTTTAAAGCTAATTTGACAGTTAAGGCCCAGCAGAATATTAAACAGGTGATCTCAGACTGCCCCCACCTTAGCATGAGGTTCAAGCTGTGAAGAATCCATCCTCTGGGCACGTGGCCTGGAAACAACGGAACACATGGATCAAACAAAACCTGGTCTTACTACTCACATTGATGCCAATAAAATAATGATACTAATAATAGGCAACTTAAATGAAGAGCAGACTCCACACTATGAATGCTCCAAGTGCATGACACCAGAGTGATCAGATTGCAATCTCAGCTCCCTGGGTGAATACACAAAGTTAAATCTTTTCAGCCCACCTTGACAGCAACAGTGTGAGCTTATGATGTGGACACTTTCATTTTCTAACCAAAGCTTTGATGACTAATAAAATAAAATTTAATCTTATGGACTGATGGTTTCCATTTAAATAGCCCCTGCAAAACGCGTTGCGGGGGATAAAAACAGTACTGGTAACCGAAATAATAAATAGCTATTTATATACTCACCTAGAAAAAAATATAGCAGGTAAAAGTATTTCATTTGATGGAGGGTCTCTGTAAAACATCGGATAAACATGGTTGCCACCTCACTACGGACTTGAAAAAACTTTTCCCTCTGAAAAAATGAATATCGTTTCACAGGGTGAATGAGGGTTAGAATGTCATGTTTTATTGCCCATCAACTTTAAAAAGCATATGGGAATATAAGATACATGTGCAAGCAATCGGTCCTGTGGTAAAGGGTAGAGTGAGTGAGTGAGCTGGGTTTAAGGCCGCTTTTAACAGTATTCCAGTTATATCACGACGTGTCAGCTTAATGTGGGAGGAAAGCCCAAAGCGATGCAGGTCTCAGACGTTTACCACTTCGGTGAAACCCACCCTGTGGTAAAGGGTAGAGTGAGTGAGTGAGTGAGTGAGTGAGTGAGTGAGTGAGTGAGTTGGGTTTAACACCGCTTTTAACAGTATTCCAGTTTTATCACAGCGTGTCAGCTTAATGTGGTAGGAAAGCCCGAAGTGATGCATGTATCAGACGTTTACCACTTCGGTGAAACCAATGAGCACAGGTAGGGTGCTGACAAACCTAGAAACATAATCGGGGCGAACTGGGATTCGAACCCACAATCATAGGTTTCTGGCGTGCCCAAGGGACGCAACTCTGCACAGCGAATCGTGGTGCCTTAGACGACTGGGCCACCTGTGCCCCCTGGTAAAGGGTAGACATGGAATAGGGGAGACAACTCTCACCTGGATGACTGGAAACTGAAGGTAGTTGAGTTGACACAGGTAGAACTGGCTGCAGAAGAACAGGCCTGTGTACATCCCATACATCACAAACACAACGTGGCACTCGTTCAGGTAGACAACATCACTGAATGTAAACAAAACACATGTCAGTAAAGTAATAACAACAGGCTATTTATAATGCACATATTTCCATACAACTCAGGGGCATGCTCAAAGCGCTTTTACAGACCACCATCACACAGTCACTGGATCATTGTGCACTCAAGAATCATTCTCAGCTCCCTGGGGAGTATATAACCCAAGCTTCCTGTTAGTGCTAGAAGGTTAACAAGCACATTTCCATCTCATCCTACCGGGTACCCATTCACTGTTGGGGTTCTACTACACCAAATCAGAACCAGTTGGGACAGTGCGGTTTTCGTAGGGAGCCTTTAGTGCAGATCGAGAGATATCTGCAGGCTGTGATTGGTGGATATTGTGTAAGATTTTTTATGTCTTTTCATCCAGTTATTAAAACTGACCATGGTTTTCTATATTTAGTACTGTCTTTTTCAACATGATAACTTATGCTGAAAGTGACCACAGCTATTTTCAAGTAGGTGACATTTGGTGCGAAACTCTGGGTGGTGTGTTTAGCTTCCTGTACTCGGAAAAGGAGCTGGCTAAGCTAGTCATATTTTTTGTTTTTTTTATTGCTGCTCTAAGGCCAAACTGTGCACACACGTACAGGTAATCGCTGTTGAATGCTTAGTTATTTAAAAAAAAAATATAACGTTACTATAGAAGTCTATGGGAAAACATTTGGTTGTGTGTAACCTTGGGTGAACAGAGGCACATTTCAAATAAAGTCACTTGCCCAAGGACTGAACTCTGTGAATGACGGGTAGATCTAACTAAGCTACTTCAGAGATGACGTCACAGCACTGGACAAGAGGTTGAAAGATTTTGATGCATAATTTTCATGCAAATTCTTATTTGTTGAAGTTGGGACTGACAAACTGTCAGTTTCAAAAGCAAGCGGGAACACTGTGTGGGAGGAAAGCCTGAAGTGGAAACATCCATCACTTTGTTGCAACACATGAGCGTGGTGTGGTCCTACCCCACACTGAGGTACATGTTGCAGCACATGAGCGTGGTGTGGTCCTACCCCACACTGAGGTACATGTTGCAGCACATGAGCGTGGTGTGGTCCTACCCCACACTGAGGTACATGTTGCAGCACATGAGCGTGGTGTGGTCCTACCCCACACTGAGGTACATGTTGCAGCACATGAGCGTGGTGTGGTCCTACGCCACACTGAGGTACATGTTGCAACACATGAGCATGGTGTGGTCCTACCCCACACTGAAGCACATGTTGCAACACATGAGCGTGGTGTGGTCCTACCCCACACTGAGGTACATGTTGCAACACATGAGCGTGGTGTGGTCCTACCCCACACTGAGGTACATGTTGCAACACATGAGCGTGGTGTGGTCCTACCCCACACTGAGGTACATGTTGCAACACATGAATATGGTGTGGTCCTACCCCACACTGAAGCACTTGTTGCAGCACATGAGCGTGGTGTGGTCCTACGCCACACTGAGGTACATGTTGCAACACATGAGCGTTGTGTGGTCCTACCCCACACTGAGGTACATGTTGCAACACATGAATATGGTGTGGTCCTACCCCACACTGAAGCACATGTTGCAACACATGAGCGTGGTGTGGTCCTACGCCACACTGAGGTACATGTTGCAACACATGAGCGTGGTGTGGTCCTACCCCACACTGAGGTACATGTTGCAGCACATGAGTGTGGTGTGGTCCTACGCCACACTGAGGTACATGTTGCAACACATGAGTGTGTTGTGGTCCTACGCCACACTGAAGCACATGTTGCAACACATGTGGTGTCTCCTTGGGGAATTGACTTTGTTCGAACTGTGCCTCTCTTCACCCAGCAGTGAATGGGTACCCAGTAGGATGAGATGGCAATTTGGTTGTTAACCTTCTAGCGCCTAACAGGCAACTTGGGTTGTATACTCCCCAGGGAGCTGAGAATGATTCGTGAGAGCACATTGATCCAGTGACTTGGGTCATAATAGCGTTTTGAGCATGCCACTCATGGTGTGGAAATATGCGCAATATTAACAACCTTTTATTATTATCATTATTATTATTATTATAATTATTTTTATTATCAAGGGGACACAGAGATTCGTAGCTGCCATAAAGCTAGTGCTATTCCAATCAAAGAACTGATCATGCCACAAGTGTTCCATTTTAGTGCTTAACCAATCATACATTGATGTTAAACCAATTACGGTAACGGTAAATCAAGTTTTCACTTTCAATGAATGTCCAACAATCATTGCTGCATTACCCACCGTTCATATTCTGCATACTTGACGAATCGCGAGAATCTGTCTCCCGCATACAGGGAGGCGCAGCATGAGATGACGAAGCCGGCAGCCATGTACACCGAGATGTGCAGCAGACGGCCCGGTCTCAGCAGCCAGGCCACCTTCCTCAGTCGGATGTCGGTAACACTCGGAACAACTGAAACACAGACGGAGGATTACAGACAATCTGACATGAACCAAACATACTAGGGGTGTCACCATAAATCGAAACATCGATATCAGTAGGGAATATCGATAGTATCGATTGTATTTAAAATACATGCAATGCTGTTCAAAATTGTCTTTCTTTTGATCATGAGTGTTAGTAATTTACACATGGTAATGTGGAAGTTTCTTTTTCTTAAATTAGTAGGGTATGGAAAAAACAAATCAGTCATATCTCAAACTTTACTTATTATTTGTTGTTATGCTTATCACATTCAAAGGAAACTTCAGTTCCAAGGTTTAATTCAACTGCAAAATCCATCTAAAATGATACACTGAAAACTATCGATATTTATCGCAATAGTTGCTTGCAATTTCAATAGTTAACACAATGGTTTCTTTCAATATCAATAGTTATCTCAATAGTGACTTCCAGAACAATAGTCACCCCTAAAACATACACATAGAACATTAGACGTTTTCCCATGTAATACCAATTTGATAAAACTTGTAAATAGTTCTTTGCGAGTCAGATACCAGAACTTTTCACTCGTTTTATAAAATTGGTATTACACGGGAGTTATTTTAGTATTTTATTTATTAGTTGCCATTTATATTAATTTTTTTTAAATTTGGTGTTAGGACGACATCTATGCGATCCACAGCTTACTCCAGTTTAACAGAATAATACATCAAACACTTTCACAACGCTAAAGTTATCGTAACTCCCATACTTAACATAGACTTACGACAGTCGTATAGCACTAGGGTGATCGCAACTACCATACTTTAACACAGACTTACAATAGTCGCATAACGCTAAAGTGATCGTAATTCCCATACTTTAACATAGACTTACGACAGTCGTATAGCGTTAGGGTGATCGTAACTCCCATACTTTAACATAGACTTACGACTGCCATTGTGCTACTCTCGTTTTATAAAATTGGTATTACACAGGAGTTATTTTAGTATTTTATTTATTAGTTGCCATTTATATTAATTTTTTTTAAATTTGGTGTTAGGCAGACATCTATGCGATCCACAGCTTACTCCAGTTTAACAGAATAATACATCAAACACTTTCACAACGCTAAAGTTATCATAACTCCCATACTTAACATAGACTTACGACAGTCGTATAGCACTAGGGTGATCGCAACTACCATACTTTAACACAGACTTACAACAGTCGCATAGCGCTAAAGTGATCGTAATTCCCATACTTTAACATAGACTTACGACAGTCGTAAAGCGTTAGGGTGATCGTAACTCCCATACTTTAACATAGACTTACGACTGCCATTGTGCTACTCTCGTTTTATAAAATTGGTATTACACAGGAGTTATTTTAGTATTTTATTTATTAGTTGCCATTTATATTAATTTTTTTTAAATTTGGTGTTAGGCAGACATCTATGCGATCCACAGCTTACTCAAGTTTAACAGAATAATACATCAAACACTTTCACAACGCTAAAGTTATCTTAACTCCCATACTTTAACATAGACTTACGACAGTCACATAGCGCTATGGTGATCGTAACTCCCATTCTTTGACATAGACTTACGACAGTCATATAGTGCTAGGACAGTCATATAGTGCTAGGGTGATCGTAACTCCCATACTTTAACACAGACTTACGCCAGTCGCATAGCGCTATGGTGATCGTAACTCCCATACTTTAACAATGACTTACAACAGTCATATAGTGCTAGGGTGATCATAACTCCCATACTTTAACATAGACTTACGACTGCCATTGCGCTACGATTGCCTTGTGGAACAGGGCCCCCTGTACCGCAATGCTTACAATTCTGTCACAATACCCTATGGCGTAATTTGTGGAATTTTGTGGCAAGATCCACCCGCGGACCAATGCCATGTGACGTCAGCCTGACAACAGGGTTGCTGGGGTCATCGAGTGTGCATAAGCTCCTCTCATTGATCTATCATCTCTACACACAATGTCATAGAAAGAGCCCAGGATTGTTAGGAGTTTTCAATATTTGTTAATGAAACTTGAAACTTCTTGCAGTACATTAGCACACACTATGGTTTTACACAATCTGTAATACAGCTGTAGGTTTATTAAATGAGTGATCTCTACACGGGCGAGTAATAAACAAGACTATGCAATAGACATTTATTAATATACTACTCAAAAGAAGTTACAGAACACCCAATTCTTTCATATTACTATAGTTAATCTCACACGCCAAGACAAATTAACTTTAGTAATATGAAAGAATTGGATGTTCTTTAATTTCTTTTGAGTAGTATAAATTCTATAAAAAACAAAAAACCAGGACATAATTCCCCCAAAGCAAGCACATTTCTCTTGTGTGATAAGCAAAGAATGGGATCAGGGGCAGATAACTCTGATTGGAAACCAAGGGCTACAGTCGTCCCGCATGTAGAAGACATGTTTTAGACTGTGTTATTATCCAATCTGTCTGCCAAGAACGGCACTAAAATTTGGTATTCTACATAAATGTCTGCAACACTGGTCTGACTGGCTTAAATTCGCAGAATGGTTGTTTGTTTGTTGTTTAACTACACACTCAGCGATATTCCAGACAAGCTGACTTCGTTTGCAAAATATACTTTATTGACTATCGCTAATGTTTCATTCAACAACAACGATTTACAAGACACCTTATATGCCGGTCCACAGGGACTGGCAGTCATAAGAATTACCAGTCCAAGCCTAATTTTAACACTTAAAAAAACCCAGGTAATTACCAGTCAACGGGAACACTGCATTATCTGAGGAGGTGACTATAAACACTTAGCAGATAGTTCACCCAAATTTCAATGGCCGTTTACAGCAGTCAAAATGAATCACGCTGGTTGTGAACATTTAAAGATGCTTGTGTAACTAACAATACCTGAGTATGCTGACGCTGACAACCAAGCGAGGCCCCCATCAGCGGCCATGATGACTCCCACGGTGGACATGAAGTAAACAGACAGCATGGCAGGGACTGTGTCTGAAAGTAGAGCATCACGTCCAGTATCAAGGGAGTCTGTCAGTAGCAACACCCTCTGTAAGGGCTTTGATGTGTTGCAAATGCTTTCTGTTTCTGGTGAAATGGGAAATTTGGTTCAGTCTTTTGAACATATTATCTACAGGACTAGATGATTTCTTTTTCAAATTATTTGTTAATAGGCAGTGACTAAAACTACCAGTTATCCATGTGAGTGGAGAGGGGAGCGTCTCAACATATCTGTTATCTATGTGAGTGGAGGGGGGAGTGTCTCAACATATCTGTTATCTATGTGAGTGGAGGGGGGAGTGTCTCAACATATCTGTTATCCATGTGAGTGGAGGGGGGAGTGTCTCAACATATCTGTTATCTATGTGAGTGGAGGGGGGAGTGTCTCAACATATCTGTTATCTATGTGAGTGGAGAGGGGAGTGTCTCAACATATCTGTTATCTATGTGAGTGGAGGGGGGAGTGTCTCAACATATCTGTTATCTATGTGAGTGGAGGGGGGAGTGTCTCAACATATCTGTTATCCATGTGAGTGGAGGGGGGAGCGTCTCAACATATCTGTTATCTATGTGAGTGGAGGGGGGAGTGTCTCAACATATCTGTTATCCATGTGAGTGGAGGGGGGAGCGTCTCAACATATCTGTTATCCATGTGAGTGGAGGGGGGAGTGTCTCAACATATCTGTTATCCATGTGAGTGGAGGGGGGAGCGTCTCAACATATCTGTTATCCATGTGAGTGGAGGGGGGAGTGTCTCAACATATCTGTTATCTATGTGAGTGGAGAGGGGAGTGTCTCAACATATCTGTTATCTATGTGAGTGGAGGGGGGAGTGTCTCAACATATCTGTTATCTATGTGAGTGGAGGGGGGAGTGTCTCAACATATCTATTAACTATGTGAGTGGAGAGGGGAGTGTCTCAACATATCTGTTATCCATGTGAGTGGAGGGGGGAGAGTCTCAACATATCTGTTATCTATGTGAGTGGAGGGGGGAGTGTCTCAACATATCTGTTATCTATGTGAGTGGAGAGGGGAGTGTCTCAACATATCTGTTATCTATGTGAGTGGAGGGGGGAGTGTCTCAACATATCTGTTATCTATGTGAGTGGAGGGGGGAGTGTCTCAACATATCTGTTATCCATGTGAGTGGAGGGGGGAGCGTCTCAACATATCTGTTATCCATGTGAGTGGAGGGGGGAGTGTCTCAACATATCTGTTATCTATGTGAGTGGAGAGGGGAGTGTCTCAACATATCTGTTATCCATGTGAGTGGAGGGGGGAGAGTCTCAACATATCTGTTATCCATGTGAGTGGAGGGGGGAGCGTCTCAACAGATCTGTTATCCATGTGAGTGGAGAGGGGAGTGTCTCAACATATCTGTTATCTATGTGAGTGGAGAGGTGAGTGTCTCAACATATCTGTTATCTATGTGAGTGGAGGGGGGAGTGTCTCAACATATCTGTTATCTATGTGAGTGGAGAGGGGAGTGTCTCAACATATCTGTTATCTATGTGAGTGGAGGGGGGAGTGTCTCAACATATCTGTTATCCATGTGAGTGGAGGGGGTAGTGTCTCAACATATCTGTTATCTATGTGAGTGGAGGGGGGAGTGTCTCAACATATCTGTTATCTATGTGAGTGGAGAGGGGAGTGTCTCAACATATCTGTTATCTATGTGAGTGGAGGGGGGAGTGTCTCAACATATCTATTAACTATGTGAGTGGAGAGGGGAGTATTTCTACTTACCTGTTATCCATGTGAGTGGAGGGGGTAGTGTCTCAACATATCTGTTATCCATGTGAGGAGGGTGTGTGTGTATTTTACTTACCTGTTATCTATGTGAGTGGAGGGGGGAGTGTCTCAACATACCTGTTATCCAAAGGAGTGGGTGTAGGGGATAGTGGCTCCACTTACCTGTTATCCATGTGAGTGGGTGTAGTGGCTCCACTTACCTGCTATCCATGTGGGTGGGTGTAGTGGCTCCACTTACCTGTTATCCAAAGGAGTGGGTGTAGGGGATCGTGGCTCCACTTACCTGTTATCCATGTGAGTGGGTGTAGTGGCTCCACTTACCTGCTATCCATGTGGGTGGGTGTAGTGGCTCCACTTACCTGCTATCCAAAGGAGTGGGTGTAGGGGATCGTGGCTCCACTTACCTGTTATCCATGTGAGTGGGTGTAGGGGATCGTGGCTCCACTTACCTGTTATCCAAAGGAGTGGGTGTAGTGGATTCAGCTGTGCAACAAGAGCATACACAACAGTGAGAGCTGGTAGAGACAGGAGATACCACGTCATGCTGGCTGCTGTCCTCCATACATACACCTGGAAATAGGAGAAAGCATTTCTAACAAAGTCTGCAAAACCTAGTTGACACTGTAACGCCTCCCTTGTGAGAAACTTGTAGACATTTACCACTTTGGTGAAACCCACCAGCATGGTATCGCGCTGACAGACCTAGAAACACCCGAAACCGGCGAACCAGGATTCCAACCCACAATCACAGGGTTCTGTTGTGCCCAAGGAACGCAACTCTGCACAACGAATTGTGACGCCTCTGACGACTGGGCCACCCATGCTACATAGACTAGGAAAGCAATATCCTTTCTGAGGCTCTCATCATGGAAAGCAGATGGAGCCACATAGTATAGGTCGACTGAGATTATTATCAATGATATTTTTATATGTGCCGCTGTGAATTCCTGTGGACAGTCGAAAGGAATTCTTTGTGGTTTAACGTCACACTGAACAATATTCCAGCGGTAGGACAGTGGTCTGTAAATAATCGAGTGTGGACCAGACAATCAAGTGACTGAAATATTATTATTCACAAAGATTTACGATCACAGACAAGTCACCAAGTCGGACCATCCAATCCATGAAGTTGTCAATTATAACCAGATAGGATTGCTGAGGACCTATTCTAACCTGGAATGCCCACAGGGTTGATGGTCAAAGGCTGAGGGCATAAAGTGAGTGAGTGAGTTAGTGAGTGAGGTTCAACACTACCTCGAAAAGTAATCATGGTAATTCAGTAACATCCTGGTTTGCCAGTTTTACTGCGACAAAAGCTAAAAGTGATACAGGCATGAGTAGTAATTCTCTTCCTCGGGCACACTTTTTTTCAGATTCTAATACATGCCTCTGGGGTATTGCGATGTCAGGTTGAAGTAAGAGCAGACAAGACTTGACCAGAAAGAGAGAATGAGTGTGTATGGTTTTACACTGCTTTCAGCAATTTTCCAGCAATAGCAGTAGGAGCACCAGAGAAAGGCTTCACATATTTTGCCCATGTTGGGAATCGAACTCGGATCTTGGGCGTGACAAGCAAACACTTTAAACACAAGGCTACCCCACCGCCCCATCGAACATTTAAAACCGATAGGAAGAACATTCTGGAATGGCTTATAGATGGTCTAGATTGTATGGATGTAATCATAAAACCCGTAACTGTCGTTCGGAATAGGCCGTGTTAAATATATCGTGGTTGCATGATTAGAAAACACATTCCGACTGTCACTTTCATGATCTGTTAAGCGACGCTCTGATTGGTTGGCTGAAAGGTCGTTCTGACGTGACCCGTAATGGGATGTCCTCAGATCTTTGTTTAGCGATAGCGAGAACTAAGATCTGATTTTAATAAGATTGTGCCTGCATCAGTATTTCATAGGGTTGATCGAATACTGAACAAAGCGAAACGATACTAATATCTTGATTGCGATGCAATGTCTCAGAGTTAGAAAATGATAATACCTCTTTCAAATACCAGATGTCAATAGAATCCATAGCACTTCTTGTAGAAAACAACAACTAGTTTGATATATCTGGTACCGATCACACCATCTGTGATTTGTCACGTTTTTCGTTTTGAAGGGAGCGCCATGGCGAGTTTTACAAATAATTCAAAGCCGTGAGAAAACGGACAAAGATTAGGAGACACGCATGATATGTGCCATAGCGTTCAGCAATTTTCCTGAATAAGTCTGAAAGTTTGAGTGTACTTATCGTCAAATATCAAATTGGCATGTAATTACAAATTTATTATATTCTTAATTATCATAATTCGTTTTAACGAATCGAAGAAAGTATTTTTACTTAACCCGTGGAAACAAGCACCTGTCATGGTATTGTTGTTTCTAGGCATCTGCTAATGAAACTTGATGCACGTGATAGAAGTACCAAAAAATAAGGATTCAGGAAAACTTTGTTTTGTTAATGCAATTTATTAGTGTAAGGCCTTTCTTTCTCGAAGGCTCTCTTCCTCTTCCGGTGAAAATACCAAGATGGCCGGCCACACAGCAGGCGATCCTCTCGAGTGCCTGAGTGTAAGTCAGACTACAGCAACCGGCATGATCAATTCACAAAATCAAAATAAGTCAGCATTTCCTCCAAAGATTTCAAAATGAAATGAAATGATACGATCTTCTCAAATGTGGACAGAAGAAATATAATCAATGCTATGGGCGTGGTTACAAAGCGAAAAAAATGATAAATGTCATTGTCAGTTGTCATTCTTTCAATGACACTTCAAACGTGTAACTCGCTGTGTGTCAGAGTCATCCCTCATTACCCATAATCATAACAAGTGACTAAATATAGAATACTAAACGAGCTCCCGTGTAATACCAATTTTATGAAACGAGTGAATAGTTTTGGTATCTGACGAGCGAAAGCGAGTCAGATACCACAACTATTCACGAGTTTCATAAAATTGGTTTTACACGAGAGCGAGTTTAGTATTTTATTTATTACTTGTCATTTATAATGTTTTTAGAATTATACTGTTGAGTGTAAATAGGCTGACACCTACACGATCCATGGCATAATCCAATTGAGTTTAAAAGGAATAATACTTCAAACACGTCAAAAGTTGAAACGTATGAATTTAATATTTATACAATGGTCCACCTTTAGAATTCAGGCGTTCGTCCCACAAAATTATCGTAGTGCTAAGGCTATCACTAAACTCACATAATTTAACTTCGACTAACGACTGTCGTTGCGCTAGAGTACGATCGCCTTGTGGAACGGGGCCTTGCACCTCAAAGTTTACAATCACGTCACAATACCCGATGATGTAATTTGTTGAATTTTGTTGCAAGATCCATCGGCGAAACAATGCCATGTGACGTCAGCCTAGCAACAAGGTTGCTGGGGTCATCGAGTGTGCATAAGCTCCTCCCAGTGATCTATCATCTCCACACACAATGTCGTTGAATACGCCAAGGGATGTTGAGAGCTTTCAATATTTGTTCGTGAAACGTGTTCCGAGAGTACATAAGCACGCGTTTTAGTATTACACAATGTGTAATAAAGCTGTATGTTTATTAAACGGGTGATCTCTTCACGGGCAAGTAATAAAAGTAGATGAGTTAGACATAATGGCAGCCTGGTTCTGATAGGAATGAAACAATAACATTTATAAAGAGACAGTTCGACACTTGGATCACTGGACCTATCAATAACCATTATCTCATGTGTATTTATATTTGCCTTATATGACATTATTCAAACAGTACTTCACCTTTAATTTCAAGTATATAAGAAAATACTACAAAGTGTTCAATGGATTTTTTTTATCCTTTCGCTAGATCTAGTGAATCAGAACGTCATAATTCCTACACAATACATGAGAAAAGGTAATATTCACCTGTATATAAGGTTATGGAACAGGTTCCATTTTAACTCACGTTGACTATGCAGACAATAACATGATTCTACTATTATTTTAGATTATATATTTAAGATTCCTCCGTAAACTTACTTCATATTAAACTTCCAATGTGGCCTTTACAGCAGCCATACAGAATAAAGTGTGAAAAAGCATGATCGGTTAAGTTTCAATTTTGTAACCAATACTATCACAATTCTGTATGCTCAGCTCTGATCATTGTAGACATTGTTCTCTTTCATACTTTAGACAGTACATACTCATATTTCTGGGGAATGTTTTCTGATTTAATATGTGCTGATGGCACTGAGTTTTCCAACATTATGGTTCAATAAATATCCTGATTGTTGAATCTTTACATTTCAAAAAGACAATGTTGAGTTCTTGAATACTCAGATAATTAGATATTACTTGGAGTGAAAATAAAAAGGATGTTTGGAAATATATTGATAAACAGGCTTAAGTATGGTTTGTAAAGTTGGCTGTCAGTTCAATATGAAATTCAAAGACTTCATGTATCCTACAACATTTGCAGATCGGAAAATACATAATTTGGAAAACAAATAACTGGCTTATGTCACGTAGCGTTGTTAACTTGTATCTCCTGTCAAACTGCTTCAAACCTATGAAGCTGAAACCTTTAATGAATTGTCCAAGCTATGGTGTCTCAAAAACTGACCATAAAATTCTGATTGGACTTTTAACATGGTCACCATGGCAACCATATTGAGCCCATCATTTCTTCTTCTTCTTGGGACACGGGTGGTCCAGTCATCTTAGGCGCAGCAATTCGCTGTGCAGAGTTGCGTCCCTTGGGCACGCCAGAAACTTATGATTGCAGGTTCGAATCCCGGTTCGTCCCGATTATGTTTCTAGGTTTGTCAGCACCATACCAGTGCTCGTGGGTTTCACTGAAGTGGTAAACGTCTAAGACCTGCATCACTTGGAGCTTTCCTCCCACATTAAGCTGACACGCCGTGATATGACTGGAATACTGTTAAAAGCGGCGTTAAACACGACTCACTCACTCACTCTTCTTCTTCTTCTTCTTCTTCTTCTTCTTCTTCTTCTTCTTCTGTATCGCAGGTATCCAGGTACTAGTATCTGCTACAATGTGGTTTTATTTGTTCCCCAACCAGTGTATCCATTTTGCATTCCAGTTATCATTTTCAACTCCCTGGGGAGTATACAACCCAAGCTGCCCAGGGGTGCTAGAAGGTTTTTACATACACCTCGCATATTGGGTACCCATTCCCTGCTGGGTGAACAGAGGCACATTTGAACTAAGTCACTTGCCCAGGGTGACAGCACAAGTTCTCACACTAGTCTTGGGTTTCGGTTCATGTACATATTCGTGTTTCCACCATCTGGTCATCTACCATTGGACGAGTGGGTTCTTTCGAGTGCACATGGTGTATGTACTGTATACTAGGGGTAGTGACAACACTGTAAAGACTTGTAAACATTGTTGGTCCCAAGGCTGAATAACAACCTGGTCACTAGCGGGATACAATCTCAGCATCTGGCACTTGCTAGCCTGGCTGTATTTAATCGTGCAGCAAGTACATGTACCGTATTCAATGTAATAAGTGCCCCACTCGAATAAGCGCCCACGGCGATATTTGTTAATATATTGGCAAGTAAATAATCCCAATTAGCACCCCTTTCGATTGATCAATGTACGCTTATATATTCGTGTATTATACGCACTCGTTTGTTATACATGTTATATGCACCCTTTATTATGGGCAATTAAATTCTGGAAAATATATCTGTCGTGTATAATACGCACAGACTCTTCTTTTGTATCATTTCAGGCTGTCAGCATATAGCACGAAATTTATGATCTTTCAACTCTGTTTTTCTTCTCACCAAAATTATATTCTAATAAGAGCCCCCTATTTCTAATTATGAGAGCGGCATGGGCACTTATTACGTTGAATACAGTATGTGTTATGTGGAATAACTGGTATTTGGAATATTTTGATTATTGATCCAGTTGCAACTACAACCTCTGAACTTTATGTATCACACTTTATCTTGTGTCATTATATTTTGACATCTATACTATAAGGTAGATAGTTGTCTCCCTTAGTCATGCCAGTATCTGCTTATCTTTGGTTTGAGTGAGGGAGTAGGGTTTAACACCACTTTTAACAGTATTCCAGTTATATCGCGGCGCGTCAGTTTAATGTGGGAAAAAGCCCGAAGTGATGCAGGTGTCATATGTTTATCACTTCGGTGAAGGCCACGAGCAGGGGTATGGTGCTGACAAACCTAGAAACATAATCAAGGCGAACCGGGATTCAAACCCACAATCACAGGTTTCTGGCGTGCCCAAGGGAGGCAACTCTGCACTGAGAATCGTGGCGCCTTAGACCACTGGGCCATCCTTGCCCCCTCTTTGGTTTGAATACTCATTGATGATCCTTGATCTGGCAGCACCAAGCCTATGGTATAAGTGCTCATTGGTTTCATCAAAGTTTTAAGACATTGATGACCTTTGTCATTGATGAGCATGATTTGGGGTTATCCTTTTCTCACCCCATTAACCTGTGAAGATCTGGGCTAGAACAGGTCTTCAGCAACCCATGTTTGCCTTAAAAGGCGACTGTGCTTGTCGTAAGAGGCAACTAACGGGATTAGGTGGTCAGGCTCGCTGACTTGGTTGATGCACGTCATCGTATCTCAGTTGCATGGATTGATGCTCATGATGTAAACCAGTGGATTTTCTGGTCCAGACTCAATTATTTTTCAGACCACTGTCATGTAGCTGGAATATTGCTGAGTGTGGCGTTAAACAACAAACAAACAAAACAAAACACATTAAGCTGATATGCCCTGATATAATTAAAAATACTGTTCAGTGCAGCTATATCCTGAACTCACATGACAGTATTTTCAGTTGCTTTTGACCAGTCCTATTGTTTGTGTTGTAGATCCCCATTGTCCTGGAGAAGGAAGCGGAGTTGGACCAGCAGGGAAATCCCGTCTTAGACCCAGATGGTAAACCCAGGTATCGTTGTGGCTTCCGCATCGGAGGCGGGATCGACCAGGACCACCATCAGAGTCCTCAGGGATACCCCGATAAAGTGAGTGTTACCCTTGGGATCTCTGAGATACCCTGATAAAGTGAGTGTTGTCCTTGGGATCTCTGAGATACCCTGATAAAGTGAGTGTTGCCCTTGGGATCTCTTAGATACCCCTATAAAGTGTGTGTTGCCCTTGGGATCTCTTAGATACCCCGATAAAGTGAGTGTTGCCCTTGGGATCTCTTAGATACCCCTATAAATTGAGTGTTGCCCTTGGGATCTCTTAGATACCCCTATAAAGTGAGTGTTACCCTTGGGACCTCTGAGATACCCTGATAAAGTGAGTGTTACCCTTGGGATCTCTGAAATACCCCTATAAAGTGAGTGTTACCCTTAGGATCTCTGAGATACCCCTATAAAGTGAGTGTTACCCTTGGGATCTCTGAGATACCCTGATAAAGTGAGTGTTAACCTTGGGATCTCTGAGATACCCCTATAAAGTGAGTGTTAACCTTGGGATCTCCGAGATACCCTGATAAAGTGAGTGTTACCCTTTGGATCTCTGAGATACCTCGATAAAGTGAGTGTTACCCTTAGGATCTCTGAGATACCCTGATAAAGTGAGTGTTACCCTTGGGATCTCTGAGATACCCTGATAAAGTGAGTGTTTCCCTTGGGATATCTGAGATTCCCGGATAAAGTGAGTGTTATGCTTAGGATCTCCGAGATACCCAGATAAAGTGAGTGTTACCCTTAGGATCTCTGAGATACCCTGATAAAGTGAGTTTTTCCCTTGGGATCTCTGAGATACCCTGATAAGGTGAGTGTTACGCTTCGGATCTCTTAGATACCCTTATAAAGTGAGTGTTATGCTTGGGATATCTTAGATTCCCGGATAAAGTGAGTGTTATGCTTAGGATCTCTGAGATACCCCGGTAAAGTGAGTGTTACCCTTGGGATCTCTGAGATACCCTGACAAGGTGAGTGTTACGCTTAGGATCTCTGAGATACCCTGATAAAGTGACTGTTTCCCTTGGGATATCTGAGATTCCCGGATAAAGTGAGTGTTATGCTTAGGATCTCTGAGATACCCTGATAAAGTGAGTGTTACCCTTGGGATCTCTGAGATTCCCGGATAAAGTGAGTGTTATGCTTAGGATCTCCGAGATACCCTGATAAGGTGAGTGTTACGCTAAGGATCTCTGAGATACACTTATAAGGTGAGTGTTACGCTTAGGATCTCTTAGATACCCTCATAAAGTGAGTGTTTCCCTTGGGATATCTTAGATTCCCGGATAAAGTGAGTGTTATCCTTAGGATCTCTGAGATACCCCGGTAAAGTGAGTGTTACCCTTGGGATCTCTGAGATACCCTGACAAGGTGAGTGTTACGCTTAGGATCTCTGAGATACCCTGATAAAGTGACTCTTTCCCTTGGGATATCTGAGATTCCCGGATAAAGTGAGTGTTATGCTTAGGATCTCTGAGATACCCTGATAAAGTGAGTGTTACCCTTGGGATCTCTGAGATACCCCTATAAAGTGAGTGTTTCCCTTGGGATATCTGAGATTCCCGGATAAAGTGAGTGTTATGCTTAGGATCTCCGAGATACCCTGATAAGGTGAGTGTTACGCTTAGGATCTCTGAGATACACTTATAAGGTGAGTGTTACGCTTGGGATCTCTGAAATACCCTGATAAAGTGAGTGTTACCCTTGGGATCTCTGTGATACCCTGATAAAGTGAGTGTTATCCTCAGGATCTCTGAGATAACTTGATAAAATGAGTGTTACCCTTGGGATCTCTGAGATACCCTGATAAAGTGAGTGTTACCCTTGGGATCTCTGAGATTCCCGGATAAAGTGAGTGTTATGCTTAGGATCTCTGAGATACCCCGGTAAAGTGAGTGTTACCCTTGGGATCTCTGAGATACCCTGACAAGGTGAGTGTTACGCTTAGGATCTCTGAGATACCCTGATAAAGTGACTGTTTCCCTTGGGATATCTGAGATTCCCGGATAAAGTGAGTGTTATGCTTAGGATCTCTGAGATACCCTGATAAAGTGAGTGTTACCCTTGGGATCTCTGAGATACCCTGATAAAGTGAGTCTTACCCTTTTGATCGAGATACCCTGATAAAGTGAGTGTTATGCTTAAGATCTCCGAGATACCCCGATAAAGTGAGTGTTACCCTTAGGATCTCTGAGATACCCTGATAAGGTGAGTGTTATGCTTAGGATCTCTGAGATACCCTTATAAGGTGAGTGTTACGCTTGGGATCTCTGAAATACCCTGATAAAGTGAGTGTTACCCTTGGGATCTCTGAGATATCCTGGTAAAGTGAGTGTTATCCTCAGGATCTCTGAGATAACCTGATAAAGTGAGTGTTACCCTTGGGATCTCTGAGATTCCCTGATAAAGTGAGTGTTACCCTTGGGATCTCTGAGATACCCTGATAAAGTGAATGTTATCCTCAGGATCTCTGAGATACCCCTATAAAGTGAGTGTTACCCTTGGGATCTCTGAGATACCCTGATAAAGTGAATGTTATCCTCGGGATCTCTGAGATACCCCGATAAAATGAGTGTTACCCTTGGGATCTCTGAGATACCCTGATAAAGTGAGTGTTACCCTTTGGATCGAGATACCCTGATAAAGTGAATGTTATCCTCAGGATCTCTTAGATACCCTGATAAAGTGAGTATTACCCTTAGGATCTCTGAGATACTCTCAAAAGTTAATGTTACCCTTTGGATCTCTGAGATCCCCTCATAAGTGAATGTTCTGGAGATCTCTGGGATACCCAATAAGTAAAATGGTACATCAAAATTGTTCAAGTCATTAAATTTTAGTTTGCTTTAGCCCTAGAAAATATGTGAACATTGATGCTGAGTGTCTCTCTTGACATTTTAAACTGTTGACAACATATCTACAGTGCCTGTTGCACTATGTACAGAAATGGAGTGACACCGGTCACTATACATGTTAAACATCTGTTAAACACATGCAGAACACATGCTGAACACATGCTGAACGCATGCTGAACACATGCAGGTCATGCTGAACACATGCAGGACACATGCAGGTCATGCTGAAAACATGCAGGTCATGCTGAACACATGCAGGACACATGCAGGTCATGCTGAACACATGCAGGACACATGCAGGTCATGCTGAACACATGCAAGACACATGCAGGTCATGCTGAACACATGCAGGTCATGCTGAACACATGCAGGACACATGCAGGTCATGCTGAACACATGCAGGACACATGCAGGTCATGCAGGACACATGCAGGTCATGCTGAACACATGCAGGTCATGCTGAACACATGCAGGACACATGCAGGTTATGCTGAACACATGCAGGTCATGCTGAACACATGCAGGACACATGCAGGTCATGCTGAACACATGCAGGTCATGCTGAACACATGCAGGACACATGCAGGTCATGCTGAACACATGCAGGTCATGCTGAACACATACAGTCACACACTGGATGGTTTCTGTTGTCTAATGAACATGTGTACATGTGTTTGTAAGCATGGTAAATCCTTGTATTGTTGCAGGGCGTGTATGTGACGTATATCCACGACAGCAGTCCAGCTTCCCGGTGTGGTCTACAGCTCCATGATAAACTTTTACAGGTGAGTGTATAACAGTAGATCTTCAGTTCTACAGGTGAGTGTATAACAGTAGATCCTCAGTTCTACAGGTGAGTGTATAACAGTAGATCTTCAGTTCTACAGGTGAGTGTATAACAGTAGATCCTCAGTTCTACAAGTGATTGTATAACAGTAGATCCTCAGTTCTACAGGAGAGTGTATAACAGTAGATCCTCAGTTCTACAGGTGAGTGTATAACAGTAGATCCTCAGTTCTGCAGGTGAGTGTATGACAGTAGATCCTCAGTTCTACAGGTGAGTGTATAACAGTAGATCCTCAGTTCTACAGGAGAGTGTATAACAGTAGATCCTCAGTTCTACAGGTGAGTGTATAACAGTAGATCCTCACTTCTACAGGTGTGTGTATGCCAATAGACCTTCACCATCTCAATTTTAACTAGTGGTTTTCATTCCCTCCCTCTCGCCCCCCCCCAGTTTGTTGACTGACCAAAACCTTGAGTAACCCTGTGTCACAGTAGATCTAGAGTCACAGTGCCATAGTGTTTCACATTTGGACAGTGGACAAGGTCACATGGACAAAATATAAAATCTATTTTGTAGCACCTGGACTGATACTTCTGACCCATCCAATGAATAGATTGCAGAGTAATGGAATGAGATTCTGTTTTTCAAGGGTCTTTGATAACCACTTAACAATCCTTATTGTCTTGCCTAGGTGAATGGCAAGGACTTCACAGTCGTCACACACAAGGAAGCCGTGGAGTGTATTCGCAAGAAAGCCTTTCTCAAAATGCTTGTGTACCGAAAAGGAGTCCCACCCCTACAGAAGTCCCCAGGACATGTACAGCCTCAGTTCCATGCCTATCAACAACAACAGCAACAACAACAACAGCAGCCACCACAGTTCCAAGGACAACCACAGTATCAGTACTAGCTGTAGCCATGGTAACAGGGGAGATAATCAGACTTCATCCAACCATCGAAGATGGCATGTCCATGCATTTGTCTTAATATTACCTGTGTCACCAGTCCTTTCACTCTCTAACATGTCCATGACATAAAACCATGAAATCTGAATTTCAGTTTCTTACTTTGGGACTATTTTTTAACAGGACTGCACAAGAGAAATGTTTTTTCTTCCATTGTATGCATCAGTGTGTATAAAACTGATATTCCCTCTCTTGATTTGGCATGGCATGTTTTATATGTGTTTACAAGTGGGATCCATTCTTCTTACTGCTACTGTTTTGTAGTATTGGTCTGAAATGCTGAACACTGGATATCGCGGTGGAGACTATTTTCCTAATCCACCAAATTCCACATATTTCAATCTCATTAAAATCAGATCTAAATTCTCGCTGCCGCTAAACAAAGATCTGAGGACATCCCATTACAGGTCACGTCAGAACGACTTTTCGCGAACTCTGACCGACCACTGAAACGAATAACAAGAAGTCGATATCAGCCAATGAAAAAGCAGCTTTACGGCACAAGTTTCAACCTGGCGACTTCCATTTCAGACTACGTGTGAAAAATATGTTGACACAGTTCTCGATTAAAATTTTGAAAACTGAACACTCTGGAATGTCTAATATATCAGATATATGGTTGAGATTGTATGGCAGTGTTTCCCATGTACTGTGCAATGCCTCCTTCGTTCAAATGTTTATCCCACGGAAGTGAGAGACAGAAGATAATTTTGACGGAATCAGTCATACGGACCGTAACTGTCATTCGGGAAATACCCCCTTTTAACATTTTCAATATAGAAAACACATACCAACTGTCACTTTCATGATCTGGTAAGCGACGCTTTGATTGGTCGGATGAAAGGTCTTTCTGACGTGACCCGTAATGGGATGTCATCAGATCTTTGTATAGAGATAGCAAGAACTAAGATCTGATTTTAATGAGATTGCACATATTTAAAATTTTCATTTTTTATTAAATTATTATAGCTAACTCAAGCCATCTGCATCAAGTGATACAACGTGCTTGCTTGGTATTTTATCTTCTTTATACAGTCTGTGTAGCCATAGTTGAAAATTTATAATAGTGTGATGGATGTTCTCTATGTCAGGTCTATAGTGCATATGCCATATCAGGATCTCCTGCAACATATCATCAAAAAATATATTGAAACATTATTTTAAAGTATCTTATCTACTTTGTTTTAAAGTATTCTTGTTGGGGATGATATGGGTCGTTGAAAGTTTTTCAACTCTTAGGTGATTTCATTTTCTGACACAAAATTCACCCTTTGGGTGTACTTGTTAACAATACTACTTGTGGGTAGTTGTTGGGGGTTAGTATTTCATGTAGGTCATAGCATCCTACATGTGGGATATCTCCCAGGAATATAGAATAGTTATTTTACATTTTTTCTCTGATAGCCTGCACTGATGGTGATATGAATTTGCAAAACCTTGTACACACCTGAATGAACTTGTGTCTTCTACACATCACATATGAAAGATTTGTTTAATGTTTTTGTATATTTTACTTCTATACCAATTTTATGCTCACCATGATGTGATAAACTTGTCAATATTCATAATATGTCATGTCTTCCTATTTGACAGGTTTTATGGTCTAAATATTAGAAAGTTTGTCGATTGAATTTCAATAGCTCTGTGAAATGTGGCATGTAGCGTCTTCTAGTTTTAACTAACTAATCATTAGCCAGGAATGGCCTGGTGTATTTTGGTACAACATTCCTTGCAGCAATACTGTTATGCACAGTTATGTGTCAGAGACTTTAGTTAGATGTGCGTGAACCAATTAATTTATTTATAGGCACTATGTGTATTTTTGTCATAATATTGCTAATTAATAGGGCTTTTATCGCTTATTAAAACTATTTTGTATCAAAGTAAGGCCACACATTTTTGGTTCACAGGCCCGCCGCCAGTACTGAAAAGCAGCTGGAAAAGAAATAAATTAAACTTTAAAATATTTATTTTTATTGTCTCCCACTAGTAATATAGACCCTCAATACAATATTAAATTTGATATATAAATTCCATATCTGCATCACTATCAGTAGTCCAAGAAGCCAGCTACAGAATGGCAGAATGACTTTCATAGAAATAAATGAATGATTGACATTGCTATTTATTTTCATTTTTATTTCGGCCGACCTTATGTGGAAAAGCTGGAATAAATCTGTGAAACATTAAATTAAAAAAGTTTGTCTTAAGGGCTTTTTGTAAGATGGGATTGATAAACTACATGGATGATTAATTATTCCTATAGGAAACGAAGAGATGATAATCAAATGAGGTTTGATACTGATGTTGTGAAATGTTCTCCGGGATGGATGAATGATCTGTGTGATTATAGGCAATACTCAACCGATGTCATCGATGTCATTATGGCTTTCAGGCGTGAGATTCTGGAATCCAGGAGCATATTTGGTGCTAGTGTGAGGTGAGCTGATTGTACGTGTGATGGCAGTTCTGGGAATAATGTACCATAACACTGGTGGATAACAGCTCCAACAATAGTACAACATGGTAATTGGTATAACTTGTAACACTGGTGGATAACAGCTCCAACAATAGTACAACATGGTAATTGGTATAACTTGTAACACTGGTGGATAACAGCTCCAACAATAGTACAACATGGTAATTGGTATAACTGTTACCATATAACACTGGTGGATAACAGCTCCAACAATAGTACAACATGGTAATTGGTATAACTTGTAACACTGGTGGATAACAGCTCCAACATTATTACATCATGGTAGGACTGTGTTATAATGCTGGAATGAAAACCTTGTTCTAGATCCTAACTTCATCCAATGATTCTTGGTCTGCCATGCTTATTGGTTCCATCAACGAAAACAGTTACGGGTCACTTTGAACTTTTCTACCACATTTCTGACACACAGTGATAGAACTGAAATTCTGTTGAAAGCAGTGTTTAAATAAATTTATTCACTCACCCACCAAAATTTATTGCATACAGTAACCACAGTTACGACAAAAAATGGATTACTATATGTTGAATTTTATTTTTCATGACATCAATGGCCACACTGGAACATGTTGATAAAGTAACAGGTTCAGCCATATAGCTTTCCTACTGTTGTCCCTCGATTTCATTCACGCAGTTGGGATATATGATGTTTTATTGTATGCTTTAGTGTGAAAGACTGAATTTTCTGAAGTTGAGAAAAGTGATATTTTCATTGCAGTGAACATAACACTTAGACGGAACTATATGTCATATAAAGCTACCTCCCCACAAATTATCTCCCTTTTACATTGACATGAAATATTGACAAATGGCCATTTATGGAGTTAATATCGCTACTAGCTAGCTGTTTGTTATTCTCTTGAAAATGCTTCTTTGTAAACTATAAACTTGGAACTACTTTTTGAGTCGCAATTACAAGGGTAGTTGAAATGTCCCTGCGTATTAGGTAGGGATAATTTGAGTTTCAAGGTTGAATATTTGTTATGAAAAATATTAATTTTCCAGTAGACAACTATACAAAAAGTATAATATATATATATATATATATATATATATATCCTATGTTGTCCCTACTGTCATCACATGCATCGTCAGTGTAGGAAATACGGCATTGATCAAAGTTATTATGAATGAAATGGCTGGCATATAAATGTGATAGTCAGCCCTGGTTATTATCTGTGACAAACCTACGATCGACTGATGAACTGATTCTTCCCATTCATCTTCTATCCATGCACCATTCTTCTTTTGAAGAAAAAGTTGTTTTTCTTTTTTGAATACATGATATGATATCTAGTGTTTGAACTTTGCTTCATCTTTCCAGGATAAAAGAGAAAGGGTTGTCCTTTATAATCAGAGATTCGGTAATGGGAACTGTGTGTAGGGAAGTTGTATACAGTACGTTTCTCTGCTGCTCAATGTTTGCAGGGTTATTGATTCAAGAATACATGACTCTTTTATGGACAGCAACTTCTTTTATTCTTTGGACGTTTCAGAGCTACTTTGTACTCATTCATCAGCATTCACCTGATGAAGAAGCAAAAAGCAAGAAGTAGCTCTGAAACACCAAAAGAATGAAAGAAGTTCCTGTCCACAAAAAGTGTCATGTATTCATGTTCTTCAAACTTCTAAATGTCGATCAAAGACAATTTTGATTCAGTATACAAGAAACGTTGGTCTCCATGTCCTTGGTCCATGCAATGTTCAAACTAGTCCGAGGTAAGTTTCTGACTGGTGGGTTAAGGGGAGACCGTGTCGAAAAGTTGATCTTTCATTCATAAGGGGGCACGGGTGGCCCAGTCGTCTAAGGCGCCGCGCTTCGCTGTGCAGAGTTGCGTCCCTTGGGCACGCCAGAAACCTATGATTGTGGGTTCGAATCCCGGTTTGCCCCGATTATGTTTCTAGGTTTGTCAGCACCATACCCGTGCTCATGGGTTTCACCGAAGTGGTAAACGTCTGAGACCTGCATCACTTCAGGCTTTCCTCCCACATTAAGCTGACACGCCGCGATATAACTGGAATACTGTTAAAAGCGGCGTTAAACCAAACTCACTCACTCACTCCCTCACTCACTCACTTACATTCATAACGTCATGGATAACCATGCATGGCACCAGGGCTCCCAAGTCTGAATGAAAAACTAACACATGTAACGTAACATGGTTATTTCCTTAAGTTTGAAGCTGATTTCTGTCTTCATTGTCTGTATGTATCATTCAACAACTCATAGAAATTACAGCACCAGTATCTTTCCCATGGATATCTCAAGCAAACTTTGAGCAGTATGTACATGTACTACAAACCTGTAAGTTTGCAACCCTACATTGACTGTCCTTGTCTTCAGTGCATCAGTCAACGTATACTATGCAAACAGAGTTAAAGAACACCCTATTCGTTCATGTCACACGGAATGACAGATTAACTACAGTAATATAATGAACCGGGTGTTCCTTATCTTCTTTTGAGTAGTATATGTTAGAAAACTTGTCATCTGCTTCATATTGGAAAACAGAAAGATGCGTGTTTATGAGATACAATATAAAGAGTGTTTATTTTCCCTGCTGAGTGATTGACTAGCATTTATTACTGTATATCTCAGATACATATTTACATATTTTGCTATAATTGTTGCACTTCATGGTTGTTTAACTCCACATGAATCTCACACAGGCTTGTTAATTACAACAGTCGGAGTGGCCAGGCTGTGAGCCAGGATAGCACAGAGTTGTCTCCCTTTGGATGAAGGTCGAAGTGGTGTGCCACTGCATTAAATCAATGTAGGGTCATGGCTTCATGGTCTGAATTGGCAAACCCCTACTTAGTCGGTCTAAGTGACTAATTTTACTGTGAAATTAACCAGATATGTTCACTTATTAATATCATTCCAAAATTTTTAACATACTGACAAAGTAACAGTGACATGATACAACCCTAACAGGGGATTGTGAGAATCTCCATCGTGAATGTTAAGAATGGAGCGCTGATGAAGATGCTCCATTGTTGCAGATCTTGGCTTAGACGTTCGGCCAGTATTCAGGGAAGGTGGAGCTAATTAATCCACACCAATTCTGTGTCCATGATTTTTATAAAACTATTTCAGTTTACATCTTGATGCTCTCTTTTTAATTTTCTTGCTTTGTGTATGAATGTTTATATTGTAATCTAGATTGTGATTTTCCCAATATTTATTGATGTGCATCATTGTCTAGTGCTTCTTGATCTTACAAATATACCTCATTGTAACAGCCTTTGTCCTCATGCTGGACGCCTTGTGGGAGACAAGCCATTACGTCCCAGTACTCCATGCTTGTCAGGATAGACGACTGACATGGTGATTGGCTGGTCAAAATGGCTGATTGTGTAATTAGTACTATTAGCAGACCATGGGGAAGATCTCTTAGTGGTGTAGTTCTGATGGAGTGTCACAGTGTACCTTCATGTCAGCTTGTTGGTCAGCGGTAGACCTACTCCATTTCAGTTGAATCTTGCAGGCCACGACAAAAAACACATTCACTCACTTTTGCATCGTGAGGTACACTTGTGTTAAGGACATCTTTACATCATCATTAAACTTTTATGGTCATATCGAAATAAAACCAACTTCAATTGACCTAAAGTGAGAAGGCTTAAAGTGTTTTTAAACTCCAAAATTGCTTTTTTGAAGACACATATGCTCGCAAGGGGTTAAATACCGGTGTTTGTTATAACCTATATTTCCCTACAATTGGTTTCTGGATTTGTAAATAGTACGGTATACTCTGCAGTATCCATGGTATTAAGTGACCACATTTGCAGTATTGATGAAGTCATTCAAACTGTATTTTCAGCTCTCATCGATATTTTGCATCCAAGGTTAGAGGTTAAGTTAGATTATATTCAACTCTGAGGGAGAGAACTCAGTATTGGGAGAAACAGGCTGATGTATTGACTAAACAAGTTGTGCAGTTATGCTGTATTCACATCAATTTCTACAATCTTAGACTATTTTGGTGACCAGTTATGTATTACAATGGGTAGGCTGTTGATAGTACCATCACTTCATGAACTTGAAAAGTATCACTCTCAGCTTATAATTACCAGTTTTCACTCTGCCCCTCCCCAAATTCATGTGTATTTTTCTCATCACACAAACAGACTGTTAGCTGACAGCTGGTTCTATAGGTAATATCAATATTTTGACATTAAAATATTTTTTTCACAACCTTCCATGACGTGTACAGTGAGGATTATAGAGACATTCTGCCATGTTTGTTGATGGCACAGTTATCTTAAGCCTACCCTTGGTGATGCATAACGGTCCTATTGGCCAACTGTTATTAGATTTTCATCCCCGCCCACCTTGCTAGCAAACACCCAACCTAACATCATTATATTGTGGGGGTACGGGTGACCCAATCGTCTAAGGTGCAGAGTTGCAGAGTGCAGAAATTGCTAGATATGTTCCTTCATTTCTATATTATGAGAAATACATACTTCTATGAAAGTCATACCACACAATCAGGCAACATTGGGATCACATCCATAACAGTTGTTCAAAGATGCCTTGAAGTTTGTGTAAATTAAAAAATAAATATAATTAAATGCCGCTTCCCTCACATTTTTTAAACATTTGGATGAAAATCAAATAATTAATTTGTTGTGGCCTTATCTTAAATATTGTATGTTTCTATCACAAACTGGGCTGTCAGTGATTTGTGCTTGCCCATTCTGTGCAAGGAACACTAGCTGGTGAATCTGCAGTGCTATGGGTATGCCTTAACATAAATGACATGTTATACATGTGTTATTAACTCTTGATAAAAGTGCTATGATTAGAAAAGTGAGTTTTTCCTTTTGACCCACATTTTGTGTACATTGATACCTTGATAGGTAGTCAGAGCCCAGAACAAAGTGCCTCTTAGCCATGTGATTGTAGTGCCCGTGTTGTGACATGCTGACGTGTTATTGTAATGTCTTGCTATGTAGCCTGCTGAAATCTGCTTTTAAGCAATAAATATATGTTTACACGATAGTAGACTTTTTGTTTCCTGTAATGTGAGGCCTGTCAGTGCCATCTACAACCTGCATAACTTCAGGGTCCCACTGTACATGGATTGACCATGACTGAAACAGTGACAGACCGAATTCGCTTACTTGCTTAGAGATCCGTGAAGATCTTGGTTAGAATTGGTCTTCAGTAACCCATGCTTGTAAGAGGTGACTAATGGGATCGGGTGATCAGGCTCGCTGACTTGGTTGATGCATGTCATTGTATCCTACTTATGTAGATATCAGTGCGCATGTCAGTCACTGGATTGTCTGGTCCAGACTCAATTATTTACAGACCACCGTGACACAGCTGGAATATTGCTGAGTGTGTCATTAAACAGCAAACAAACTCGCTTAGAGAAATGGCTCATCTCTCATAAAATGACCTACACTGGTACTGCCAAATAGCATTTTGTTAGCTAAAAGTTGGGGACTGGTGATGGGAGTCTTGGAGGCTGGTTGTCAAAGGCGCTGCAAGTCGCAGTGGAATAACTGAAATACTGTTCAAAGCAGCGTTAGACCCACCTCACTAACTCACTCTTGGAGGATGCAGGGTGTCTGGTTTCTGGAACTGTGACGACTCTCTGCTTATGGATTCCCAATCCGGATCCTCCCCGACTAGAATCCTCCGTTCTGTCAGCACCACACCCACATTCACTGGCTCCAAGTCATAACAGTGTCACTATTTTCAATCTCCCAAATTCAGCTGAAATATTGTTCAAACTCATTCAATGTTTCATGTGGACAAATAACAAGAAATACAAAGCTGAATCACAGACATTTAATGACCAACAATGCAATAGGGACCAACATTGATGGTGGCCTTGCCCAATGATACCATAGGGACTACGCTGCTGGCGGCCACACCCAACACTATTATAGGGACCAACAAGAACATCAGCCATGCCCTGTAATGCTAAAAGCACTAGGGACAAACACGGAAGTCAACCATTCCCAGTAATGCCTAAAGCACAACCTGGACAATACTAGTGTTGACCTTGCCCTGTAATGCTTAAAGCACCAAATGGGCCAACAGATGTCAACCATTCCCAGTAATGCCTAAAGCACAACCTGGACAATACTAGTGTTGACCTTGCCCTGAAATGCTTAAAGCACCAAATGGGCCAACAGATGTCAACCATTCCCAGTAATGCCTAAAGCACAACCTGGACAATACTAGTGTTGACCTTGCCCTGTAATGCTTAAAGCACCAAATGGGCCAACATGGATGTCAACTTTACCCTGTAATGCTAAAAGCACTATAGGGACCAACTCTACTGTCAACCATGCCCTGTAATGCTAAAAGCACTATGGACCAATACTAGTGTTGACCATGCCCTAAAATGCCACAAGAACTTGTTCGGTGCCAGGCGTGGCCTTCTCCAGAGGGACCATAAGTTGGGGTGGCTGTCCCCATGGTTACTCCAGTCTGAATAAGGCACTTCTTTAAGCAAGCTTCGCCTTCTCTCCATCCATCTTTCTGTCAGTCGGTCCTGTGCTACCAAATTATCACCTCTGACACGTACACTGTAACCATGGCAACAGCACACAGCCAGTTTACACTTTGCGTATTAAATTTACAAGTAATTTGTACAAAAATATCACCAATATGACCTAGACATGGACAGTCAGTGAGCAGAAATAATCACAACAATTTGTAATAGCACAAAACATTTGAGGATTATTTTTCACATCTTATTTTTGATTACACGTAAAGTAACTTTCTGAGCACTATACTTCAAAATATCTGGGAACAACAAACATAACAATAAACATTTTGGAATAATGTATCACTTGAATTATTTTTGATTTCCAACAGTGATCACAGCATTTGAAGAGCTCTATTTAAATACAACTACTGAATGTATAACTGTACAACAAACATGCCATTCCGTCTCTTCCCTTGGATTAGCAGCATTCATAGTAACCACAGCTCCACTCGTAGTGAGAACACAGATGCATAACAACACATTCCATTAGCCAAATGCATCCTCTCCTATTTCCGTGGACATATCATTGGCTATATTATTGAATTGTTTGATAGGCATAACTTAGATGACGGATGACAAAGTAGACACAATTTATGGATAACAACTTCTTGAATACTGTAAAGGTGACGTTTCGGTATAGATCCTTGTCAAGCAAGACTGGACAATGGTATAAGGATCTGTACCGAAACGTCACCTTTACAGTACTAAAGAAGTTGTTATCCATAGATTGTGTCTACTTTGGCTATATTATCACCTATACATTATTTCTGTTTTAGATGTCTTGACTACTAGGGTCACCAATGTCACAATGTAGATTTTAATGAGAATCCTAGATGTTTGGTAGGGTAATTGTCCAACTTTTGAGCACATTTTAATCTTTCGGCATTCCAGTGATCTTAAGCCAAAATATCAATGGCCCATAAATATTAGAATTTTTTCCCTCTTTCAACAAATCCATTTCATCTTCCTCAGCTAGAGTCCGTCTCATGATCATAAAGCATTGTGAGGTTGTCTTATAATACTATAAAATTGTTGTAAAATAATAATGATAACACTATAAAGCATTTTAAAGTAGTTCACAGAATGTCCAAATATTTGTGTTGTTGAGAAGATCTGTTATCCATGGCAACATGACTAACCTTGGGAGTAGGCATAGTTGTATACAAATGTTGATGAGCTCACAAGGCTATTATATACAACATACCTTAACAAATGAGTGAAGAAACGATGTAACAACAGCATCCATCTGTTAGACACAATACAATAATGCTTTGTTTTCAAATCAAGTAAATTTACAGCAGAAAAAGTTCCGTTTCTAAAACAATTGTTAGAAACAAATAGCCAAAAGCTAAAAAATCTCTAAAAGAAAATGTCTATCTTTGGAATGTACAGCATAAAATAAACAAATCGGACAACAAAATGAAATACTAAACATAGCACTGTGATGAAGCTACTGAAAAGAGCACTTTCCGCTACCGGGCTGGGGACAAGCCAGTACAATGCAAGACATGATATCGTGGCATCCAAGGGTAGGCCTGCTTGGACTGTGTCGTATTCACTGCAAAGAGCTATATATCCCCCCAATACCTGGTGTATAACCACACCGTAACACACACATTAGCAATGACCACCAACATATGGGAATATTTCTGTAAAAGATGATATCTAGACTCTCACCTAGACTTTGAAACACATGAAATGAAATCGGCAATGCTGAGTAAGTGCTTCCATGGTGACCGTTACCATTGGAAACCTTTTTCTCTATATATCACACAACAGCCTATGATTCAACTTCAGCCCATGAAATCCTGTACAACATGAATTCATGTTTGATTGCTGAAACATCTATGGCATTACAAAAATGGAATATATTTGTCCTTGATACTTTATCTTTCACTGGCTTTGTTTCAAAGGGAAATCCAATTGATGTCAGCATGTGTGTTCTATATGTGTTAAGAAGCACAGAGTTGCTTCCCCTGATGTGTGACTGGCCTGGCTGTGTGAAGTGTGTGTGAAGTGTCTTACACTGGAGACACACCCAACCACTGCCTACTGTCGCCTACACATCTGGGTAGAAACTTTGCTTATCTACCATTTAAAACTTTACTGACATTTGTCATAGCTATGAGAATGTACCTCGATACCTAAGTAGGGGCAGTGGGATAGTCTAGTGGTTAAAGCGTTTGTCGTCACACCAAAGACCCTTGTTCGATTCCCCAAATGGGTACAATGTGTGAAGCCAATTTCTGGTGTGATATTGCCGTGATATTGCTGGAATATTGCTAAAAGCGGCGTAAAACCATACTCATTCACTCACTCAATACCTAAGTATGATTAAAAGGACTTGAATGATAATATGAATAAATAAATTCTTGAAGAAATTTACAAATGTCATTGAAAAGAGTTCTGAGAACACATATATTCTATAAATAGTCCTTAACAAAGCAATATTGTTAATAACAGAATGTCTGGAACTTGAAATCATCAAAATAAAGAGTTAATGATTCTTGCAGTAGTTAACTGTTAAGCATATATATGTGGACACTGATATTCAATACTGAAACTCAAGACACGGTACAGGGCATTGACTATGAGGACGAACAAGCGACAACATCACGGGGTTAATATTGCAAAACTCTTGGACGGCATCAGCAACCAAAGAAATGATGTTTATAAGTGTGGATAATTCAGCAATGTCTTAATATGTAAGGAAAATTGTTTAAATATTTCCCTTAAAGAAAGACAATGGAAGAATCTCAAAATTCTGATAACCGGGATCCTTCATAAAATGCTTTGTAAATATTTTAAAAAATTGCTCAGTTTAAACTCATCATTTCTCTGATTCTTCACAATTGAATACATTTTTTTAAACATCAACACAGTGCATTAGGAATGATACATGTATATGGCATTATGAATGTGTAGGCATGGAAATATGAATGCATATCATGAGTAATATGTGGATGTATTAACAACGTGAATACACCCCATGTAAAACATGGACATGTCAACAATGTGAACAGACCCCATGTAATACATGGATATGTCAACAATGTGAATAGACCCCATGTAATATATGGACACGTCAACAATGTGAATAGACCCCATGTAATACATGGATGTGTCAACAATGTGAATAGACCCCATGTAATATATGGACACGTCAACAATGTGAATAGACCCCATGTAATACATGGATGTGTCAACAATGTGAATAGACCCCATGTAATATATGGACACATCAACAATGTGAATAGACCCCATGTAATACATGGATATGTCAACAATGTGAATACAACACATGTAATACATGGACACGTCAACAATGTGAATAGACCCATGTAATATATGGATGTGTCAACAATGTGAATACAACTCAAGTAATACATGGACACGTCAACAATGTGAATAGACCCCATGTAATATATGGACATGTTAACAATGTGAATACAACTCATGTAATACATGGATATGTCAACAATGTGAATACACCCCATGTGACACTGGATCTATCAACAATGTATATGTTACATGGATGGAGGGATGCCACTAGCAACAATATAAAACACAGGATACAAGGGAAATACTTGATATATATCACAACCATATATACAGTGGCATGAGATGACTTCAATACTGCCTACATGCTTTCTCCTAATGGGACTTTAGTACAACAAGCTCAAGTTATCAGGTCACTGATGCTGCTCACAATATAGCATGAATAACATGGATATAAAATACTATGTTTTTCTCTAAACATAATAAACAAATCCAAAAAATATCTCTTCAGCATGCATAAATTTGCATATATTATGTACCTGCCAACAAAATAACAAAGTGAGAGGACGGAATTGCCATCTGGATATTCTATAATGCTTTCTGGTTACGGGCACATAAACCTCCGCTTTGTCTATGTAATAAATGTGTTTCTATCTTTTACACAAAATAATATTAAATATGAAATGTCAGAATCACACTAGTTACTATGGCAATGAAACGATGACATTTCTACAACTGAAACACACCTTAACCATGTTTATGAAGATTTCTCCATTATTATAATCACACTATGAATTGGAACGATGTGTTTAAGGGTGAATTATGGCACATTATTTATGTTATTGCTGATAAATAATGACAATATTCCTACATGTGTATTTTCCTCAATTATTTACACACATGGGAGGAGGGTAACAAGGTGGATGAGGGGGAGGTTTAACCAAGGATGGATGAGGGCGCTTCTCTGACCTGCAGATTTCAACAGTGGAACTTGGACAGGATTCGCCACCAAAATCATCACCAGTGATAAAGTGGCTGTTTTAAAAAATGTTAGCAAAAAATCACAATGAGGATGATTATACGAGTTAGCAGTGATCTGGTGACAATCCAGGCATCTTAGTCTCATCATGTGTATGTTTGAGAAGATCACAATGTTAAAGTGTAATGTTAAGGAGTGATGTTCAACTTTCATCCCACGACATTTTTCTGGTCCATAAACTGAAGGCAGAAAACCTGGCTCTGATACGGCAGGATGTGGGAGGATGTCCTGATTGTGTTGGGACAGTGAACACCCTGTAGACGAACAATGGGTGAAGAGTAGGAGACAACACTGCCATTCTGTTCACATGACATCTTCCAATGTAGGTTTGATAATGAAGAGAAACAGCTCGAGTTTAAGCACTTGTTTGCTCGACTTCTATGTGGTTTGTGTGAAGCAAACAAGTTTACTCAAATTTCCTGATGAGTTAAATTTGGCTGTTTGAAAGATGATTAAATTCAAAAGTTCACACCATTTAACAGATTAAAATGTCAACAAGCTTAAAAAAACATAATTCTGCGTAGGTGACTTAGACATAATAATATCCAGTCTTTGAAAGTTCAGCAATGAGTGTATCTCCCGCCATGTGTCTACCAACCTTTTCGCAGTGGTGTCACAGAAAATGACAGTAGTTAAATCTTGACAAAACTAGTTATATTTACTTGGTACAAGCTAACCTCCTCTTGCACTTTCACATCTCTGACCAACAAAGAATTTTCTAGATTGTCTCAAACATGGCAGTCACCCATATATCTAGAACAAATCCTCACTCATACTTCCCAAGCAACGTTTAGAACCAACATCTCTCCACTAATACTTCCCTAGCAACATGTTAACAGTTTGGACCAACATTTGACAACTATTTTCTCCCTAGCAACATGTTAACAGTTTGGACCAACATCTGACAACTATTTTCTCCCTAGCAACATGTTAACAGTTTGTACCACCATCTGACAACTATTTTCTCCCAAGCAACATGTTAAAAGTTGGTACCAACATCTGACAACTATTTTCTCCCTAGCAACATGTTAACAGTTTGGACCAACATCATCAACTACTTTCTCCCTAGCAACATGTTAACAGTTTGGACCAACATCTGACAACTATTTTCTCCCTAGCAACATGTTAACAGTTGGTACCAACATCTGACAACTATTTTCTCCCTAGCAACATGTTAACAGTTTGGACCAACATCATCAACTTCTTTCTCCCTAGCAACATGTTAACAGTTTGGACCAACATCATCAACTATTTTCTCCCTAGCAACATGTTAACAGTTGGTACAACTTCTCTGTACACAAAGTCGCCTAATACCCTCATTAATACTATATCCATTACCACTAGTAACAAATAGGATATTTGTTTATGAAACAGGTGAAGATATTTCACAGTTATGTTGAAAGACAAGTACATGTGATTAAAACAGGGACGGAAAAACTTCTTCTGACTTGCAAACGAAGCAGTTAAAGCATCTAGAAGACATATATACCTCCTCAGAGATCAACAGGATGATATGAAGATGCAGCCATGAGACTAGCTGTCATTTGATGAAACCTGAAACCTTTGGAAAACATGTAAACATATCTAAAAGTGACAATATGTATTTCAAACGTGGACGGCTCTGGACGGAGATCCTACAGTCATAACCGACATTGATTAGAAATAACCAATGTTCATCTGCATAAGGCTTCAAGAATAACACAAACTTTACACTGTGTGTAACAAAGACATGAAACAAGAACTCAAGACTGAAACCTGAATTATTAACACTATCTCCTAACTGATATATAGTATATATGCAAGATTGTAAGATACAGGGTGACAGAGATGAGAAGTTATTGACCATCCTCCAGCCTCTACAAGAATGGTGTGGAGATAGCAAGGTGATGTGATCACCTGGCTACTAAGTCCTGACCAGGTCAAATATAGCAAGTGGTAAGAATATAGCATCACAGTCTCACTTTGATTCTTACCAGATAATTCCAATTTTGGCCTCATTTTCAGCAAGGGAAACACCTGATGACTTCTGTACAGGGCAGTTGCCCTTTCGGCATGATAATGTTGATGATAAGTGATACAGCATTTCACAACACAAGGAATATACACATATATACAATACAAGCTGGGCACTATATTCCCAGCAACAAATGATAAAAAACAGGATGCCATAAAGCAGAATGTCCACAAACTACGCTGCCATCTTGGGACTTCATTAAAATGGACGGCTACGTTCTGTCACTGAATATCACAATTCTGTAGTGTTCGTTTTCTAAATGCTGACAGACATATTCCCAGCTTGGTATGAAGCGCTGTAGTCACGACACCTGAGTGCGTAGTACCATGTTTATCTGACGTGTAAAAAATGTCCGTTTGATGTGTAATTACGGTACCCTTCTCCCGTAGAAACAGCATCCTCTTGACGTGTACAAACATCAGGCGTGTAAAACCAGAACAAGTATTACCATAAGAATGATAATACGTCCCTGCCAATCAATCCAGTACATAAAAAGATTGTCCAAGCTTGTCACATGCCAACCAATGGTGGAGCAGGTAATGAGGCCGTGTGTCGTCATGGTGACAGGATGGAGGATGCTAGGTGGAACCATCAGCTGCGTATACTGCGGAGAGTCGACTGTTGCAGCGGTCCACGGCCGACAGCTGCAGGAACTGTTGCATATTGGCCTCCTCCGGCCCAGCCATGCTGAACTGTTCAAATCCGGTTGGCATCTGTTGGTCACCATATCCTGTCACACAAGACGAAACATCTCAACACATGACCTGGCAACGTTGAATACAGAACAAATATTACATAAAGAGGATATAATACACAATTAGTGCATGACCATAGACATTTCAGAAACCACTCTACCCAAAGACTTAATACATTATTAGTACTGGTACTAAGATGGCTTTGTGAAGGAGAGCCCAGATTTTCAGCATAATGTTATAATGTACATTGAACAATACGTGGATCTGCACTCTATCACTACTTCAGACCATCAAGAAAGTGTCTACAATCATCCAAATCTCTATACATCAGTGGACACCAGACACATTGCACCCATGTGAGAAGTCATCCCTGGACAAGGTTAACTGACGTTACCACACAGCAAGAGGAGATTGAAAAGAGAAAAAATTTTAACCAAAGGCTATCACTTCTAAAAGCACTTCTCACAAGAGCATCCAGACACAGGGAACTGACAACAACACTCATCCAAGGAAGAGAATTTATGGATGTCAACTTCTTTATTATAAGGAACGGAGTATATTCTCCTTCACCTGATGAAGGAGTAAGTATAAACTCCAAAACATTGTGTTCCTCATAATAAAGAAGTTGACATCCATAAATTCTCTTCCTTATATATATATTTTCTAAATGCCTTTCAAAGACTTAAAACTCACCCTGTTGGCTGACAAATGCCTTCTGCATGTCCACAGGCATGTTGGCAAACTGCTCCTCGGTGAAGTTCTGGAGGGACACATGCTGTGACTGCATGGCTCCCATGCGGCAGCTGTTGATGTTGGTGAAGGCGTTGGCGCCGGCGAACGGCAACCGCTGAGTGTACTGAGGGTACCCGCTCTGGTTGGGCATGTCTGCAAACAAAAAAGGTACCACTATATATATACACAGGAACAGCTTTTGTGTTGAATCTATTTGCTAAACATCAAGCCTTTTCTGACATTCCTGAATAGTTGCTGAAAATCTTCTATTCCCACCAGTATTTGTCTTTTAAACAAGCCATGTGAACATCTAAAGTATTAGTTTCTTAAAATCATGTTTCTATTAAATCAGGCCATTATTTTAAAAAGTCATAAAGTTTCCTCCACAACATGTCTTTCAATCTTTTATTGGTTTATTGTCTTAAGTTTTAACCTTTAATCTAGTGTGTGTGTGTGTGTGTGTGTGTGTGTGTGTGTGTGTGTGTGTGTGTGTGTGTGTGTGTGTAGATCTCAGGTTGTATGTGTCAGCGTAGGGGTAGAAAACTAACCCTGCATTGGGGGTGGGGAGAGGGTGGTGGCAGGGGTGTATCTCTGGTAGTAGGTGTCAGCCTTCCTAGGGGTAGCAAACTTACCCTGCATGCCCCCGGATGGGGGGTAGCCCTGGTAGGATGTGGCAGGGTAGGGGTTGGGTTGCATATTGTTCAGCATGTTGGGGGCGTGTCGGCTGATGGGTGGGAGTGGCCGGGGACTCAGCATGCCCTGGGAGGGGCCAGGAGAGTAGCCACCCATGCTGAAATGATACACATGAGATAATTAGATAAATAACACACTATAATCAGTACATTGACAAACTGTTTACGGGTACCATCCATGTGCAACAGTGCAACAAAGTCATGACACACCACCGTATTTGACTCTAGAAAAGCCACATTTTGAGGACCAGAAAAACAGATTCTGTAGAAAGGAATTGGCCTATGTGAAGGTAACATGGGTCCGGGTAGTCATGTGGGTAACAGGATCCTACTCCATACCCACCCGACCCGAGTACCTGAGTTACCCATCCCAGCCCTACGGACATAACATTTTGATACAGACTTCAAGGGTCAAGTTAGCACCTCGGCTTAACTATGAGATTGGCTTATCTATGGTCATATACGGTATGTATCTTAATACTTGATACATATGATACACTTTGCGATACAAATAGATACATATAAGTATCTATTAAATTATATTGAAATATGTCCCAGTCTGGACAGGCAAACCAGTGACTGAGAGCATGAGCAGCGATCCACGCTCTTAGGGTGCAATACCATACTATCAGCCAGGTGACATATTGTGACCACACATTCCTTTTTTAGTTGACCCTCACATCAATCAACGGGTGCTGTTGAACTATTCTGACCCAGAATTCTTAAGGGGCTCAATACACAAATACAAAACTTCCTGTATCATTAATCTATCTCACGATGTACGGGTGCACATCATAACAAAACAAACAACAATTAGCTACTCATGAAATCTTATGTAAAAGCATTCTTTAGGGCACTAAAAATTGTCAGTGCACCCGATTATTCAAGCAAATTCTGCATAGAAACCCAAGGCCATAATAACTATTTCTACTTCAAAGTCGGAGTGATAACATTTTTTTATCTTTGTACCCAGGGCGGCAAGTTGGCCAACACACATGACATGCTCATCCTTGATCCATGTTCCCTGAGGGATCTGGCTATTTCAGACCAGTCTATCTCTAACAGCTATTTCTGTTTCAAAGTAGGGGAGCAGGTCCTCTTTCTCCCCCTTGCTGACAGAGGGATGCACTTTCCCCTCACACCGGGAAGCTCCACCCACTCACCGGGGTCATGTCACACCGATGTGTCTCCACCAGACGTAAAACACCCACCTGTAACACCTGTCTGTAACACTACTTATAACACCCACCTATAATACTACATGTACCACCAACCACCTATAACACCTACCTATAATACTACCTATAACACCCACCTATAATGCTACCTATAACACCCACCTATTATACTACATGTACCATCACCTGTAATACTACCTATAACACCCACCTATAATGCTACCTATAACACCCACCTATTATACTACATGTACCATCACCTGTAATACTACCTATAACACCCACCTATAATACTACCTATAACACCCACCTATAATACTACATGTACCACCCACCTGAAATACTACCCATAACACCCACCTATAATACTACCTATAACACCCAGCTATAATACTACCTATAACACCCACCTGTAATACTACCTATAACACCCACCTATAATACTACATGTACCCCCACCTGTAATACTACCTATAACACCCACCTATAATACTACCTATAACACCCACCTATAATACTACATGTACCACCCACCTGTAATACTGCCTATAACACCTACCTATACTACTACCTATAACAATCACCAGTAAGCAAGATGTGATATGGAGCTATGTTGTCTGATTGGAGACTAGGGACGGTTGACTGATGTTATTTTGGACCAAAGGGCACTGATTCCACTGATGGAAGGTGATGAAAGACCCCTCAAGATAAAACGCTGAATATTTTGGCCGCCCTCACCTGTCCTCCTCATTGACCACGCTGAGAGTGCCGGTGTTCATGGGACTGCCTTGCATGCTGACGGGGGACTGGTGGTTGCTGACGCCCGTGGCAGTACCGCAGCGACTGGAATGTGTGCTGGAGAAGCTGATGCCTGCAGAACAAAATTAAGGTGTGTCACAACACTTCACGACACGGGTACGTCAAAATACTTCACCAAACACGTGTCTCAGAATACTTCACAATGCTTCAAAACATAGGTGCGTCAGAATACTTCAAAACACAGCTATATCAAAATACTTCACCAAACATGTGTCTCAGAATACTTCACAATGCTTCAAAACATAGGTGTGTCAGAATACTTCAAAACACAGGTACATCAAAATACTTCACCAAACACATGTATCTCAGAATACTTCACAATGCTTCAAAACATAGGTGTGTATAAGTTTACTTCACAACACAGGTGTGTATAAGTATGCTTCACAACACATGTTTGTGAGAAAACACATTAAATCATAGCCTTACACATTGTTAGAAATTAATTGTTATTTTCATCAGTCTGCAAAAAACAGTTACAGAGCTGCCATTCTGCCTCAAGGTAAAGTCAGGGTAAGTCAGTCACAAATTTGATTTTTTTACATGTACTTGGTGCATGTAGACATAAATATTTAATAAGGCTGCACTTTTCAAAAATAGGTTGCACTGGTGCTTGTTTTATACAGCTAAATCAAGCCCTGTAACTGTGAACTCAGCAATTTTCAACATCATGCAACACTTATCATGTACCTTGTCTAAATTTCCTAACCCAAAATGCAATGATGCAGTGACCCTAAAATGGTCATGTTTTTGTTTGTTTGGTTGTTGTTTAACGCTGCACTCAGCAATATTTCAGCCATATGACGGTGGTCTGTAAATAATCGAGTCTGGACCAGACAATCCAGTGATTGACATCATGAGCATCAATCCACGAAATTGGAATATGATGACATGCATCAACCAAGTCAGCGAGCCTGACCCCCTGACCTGTTAGTCGCCTCTTACAACAAGGGTAGTCACCTTTTACGGCAAGCATTGGATACTGAAGACCTATTCTACCCCGGATCTTTACAGGTGAAAATAGTCATGTTTGACAGGGGGGGGGCAAAAAAAGAATACTAAATAAATTGGAAGCAAAATTTACTTGGGAAAAATCAGGATATTATGTTGTAATTAATGTAAAATAAAAGGCTGCCTAATAAATTATCCTCGAACCAGCTCTTACACAACTGTTAATTCACAACTTACAACATATTACGAGTTTGCATGAGTGGCCAATCATAATCACCTATTGTTATCCAACAAAGATGCTGATATAATACATCAGTGCATTGACATAATTCTCAGATACGAAACACCATACCCACTTAACTGAAGTATTTCACATATAGTCCTGTATAGATTCATATTTTAACTAGTATATTTTCATGTTTAATTAGTATTCTTAACTTCAACGCGATCAGAGGCCTCTGTTCTAGTCTTTTCTAACTGGTGTGGAAACTCTAGTTTTATCTGAAATAGGGTACTGATTGAAATGACACATTTATATATTCAGACCAGATATTCCGGAAGTTTAAAGCCTGGTTACTAGTGTTTATACCCTTTTGTATCATATGTATACGTATCATATCAGGAACAAAGTACCGGGAAACCCATCATATCAGAGATTGGTGTATCATTCCATGAACTTACATCGCTATGTAATGTTAAGGCTTATCCATTTTGTGAGTCATTTCAATGGCAATAATCTCAGTCAATTTTATTTAATGACTACCTGACAACACTTGGACTCCTCGGATACAACTTAGAAATATATTTTAAGACTAATTGTCCAGAGGACAAGTGCAAAAACTATTTCACTTGTCCTCCATGTTAGTAGCTAGTACTCAGTACTGATTTGTAGTAAAATCACACCCCGAGAACTGGTTCAGAATTACTGCCCTGAAATAGCACTAGTGATTGAGGTCTACCATCACTGAATAATTAATAGTCCTCTGCACAATTTGGTGATTTCAGGCTAGCATGAATTTGGAAGGCTGCAGACAAAGTACAGAGTGACAATGAGTTGTGTGGCAGATAGCACTAAACCTGGCCATGTCAACTACACACCATAACAAGCTGAAATATTTCTGTTGAAGCAGAGCTAGGGTGCCATGATCAATCAAAGTTTGGGTCACACCTCATTCAAAGAACAATACACCCCAATCAAATAACTGTATTTGACATTCCATATTTTCTCGTCAATCAATATTCCAGTGATAAAATATTGCTTTTCAGCATGCTATTCTCACATCATAATTCTAAAAATATAATCATGTTTTCAAGTTATCAAAGGCTGACATGGGTATTATCTAAATCTCCAGCTTAGATGGTAGAAAAGTGAAGAGTCGTTACCTGTGAGAGATAAGAGAAAGTTTAACATATGACAGGTAGTTGTCTATTTGCCATATTACGTGACTGACAAATGGCATCGACCTTACACTGTGCATACAGCTTCGACTTGAGGTGGTGTTTAGCGGTCATTATGTACCTGTCTCTCCATTACCCTGACAATTGTTCTCATTGAGACCTGGGACACGGCTCTGACCAAATACAGGTATATCCTAGCTACGCTCAACTGTTGTTTGTACATTAGATTACAAGCTAGATGGGTTTTAGGGTGACTGACTTAACTAGCAAAGCTGGGTGTTTGAGTCAGCACTGGAAGATCTTCAGGTTGGAATGTTAGGAGGCCATCGTCATGTTTGTCCTAACATTCCGTCATATATCACTGGCTGGTCATGTGATAAGAGGACACAGGGACTTAATGAACTATATGCTGCTTAATTAATCCTAAAACAATCTACAACAGTTAGTCAATGGACAGAAAATAGCAAAGATGTCTGGTATTCACATGTTCTTTTAAAAACAGGTTTCTTGACAACATATTAACAATGTAGCAACTTTTCTGAATTGTTATGGGGCACGGGTGGCCTAGTTATCTAAGGCACTGCGAGTTGCGTCCCTTGGGCACGCCAGAAACCTATGATTATGGTTCATATCCCGGTTCGCCCCGATGTCAGCACCATACCCGTTGATCGTGGGTTTCACCGAAGTGGTTAACGTCTGAGACTCGCATCACTTCGGGCGTTCTTCCCACATTAAGCTGACACGCCGCGATACAACTGGAATACTGTTAAAAGCAGCTTTAAACCCAACTCACTCACTCACTCACTCTGAATTGTTATGGTATTATCAACATACACCTCACAGATGTATTATGTAAGCAGCTTTCATAAAAACATCACTCTTCAAGACTAATAAAGGACACGTATGCTCTTTAAAACAAATATCATATTGGTAGGTATAGACAATATATATCCTGATATTAACATTCAAGCCTTAAATGTGTGTAGTGATGGGTATTGGCCTGAATATTGTACTTAATTAATCCTAAAACAATCTACAACAGTTAGTCAATGGACAGAAAATAGCAAAGATGTCTGGTATTCACATGTTTTTTTTCAAAAACAGGTTTCTTGACAACATATTAACAATGTAGCAACTTTTCTGAATTGTTATGGGGCATGGGTGGCCCAGTCGTCTAAGGCACCACGAGTTGCGTCCCTTGGGCATGCCAGAAACCTATGATTATGGTTCAAATCCTGGTTTGCCCAAATTATGTTTCTAGGTTTGTCAGCACCATACCTGTGCTCATGGGTTGATATTAACGCTCAAGCCTTAAATGTGTGTAGTGATGGGTATAAGCCTGAATATGGTACTGCAATTTATTGCAATAATCAATCATGTATTGCAATATGTACCACAATATATTGAATGCTTTCTTTCATCTGTAAATTGTATGAACCTGAACAAAAAAAAACCCTGCATGTTTTCGACAACTTCATATTTTGTTGCTATGGCCACAAAGCATGCGTAATAGACACATCATATACAGGAAACTGTCACAAATAGTTTCACTGTTTTGACCATCCGGAAAAGTTGCTAATTACTTAATTTCCATTTGAATTGACACCAGCGTAAAATGTCCCAATGAGATGATATGCATGATTTTGAAAAAATGCAATATATCGTTATTTTCCAAATGTATTGTGGTACATATTCATTGGTATTTCATATCGTGGTATACCAGTAATATCGCACACCTCTAAATGTGTGTGATGCTACAGGCTGTCATCTGTTACATAATGGTAGATATAGACAATATACCCTGCTATTAACACTCAATTCCTTCTTTGTTACCCGTCAGGCATCTGTTTAACAGCTGACATCAGGTGTTAGACAACTGACATGTAGTCCATGGAGTTGTAACTTGTTGGTTTGTTTGTCGTTTAATGCAACCCTCAACAATATTACAGCTATATGATGGCGAGACTCACTTGGGTACTTGTGGGCTGTGGGATTTCCTTGGGTAATGTGTTTCTTACTTGGGTACATGTCTGATGCGGTGCCTGGCATGGATGCGTGGGGGGAGCGTCCGAGCCCGCTGTCTGTGTGCTCCATGGGAGAGCCCTCTGGTCGCAGTGGCTGGATGGAAAGGCAGTCATTCAGGAGGTCGGGTGGTGGCATCTCTGCCTCCTTCTTCAGCTGGGGAAGAACAGAAAAACACATGAGTGAGTGAGTGAGTGAGTGAGTGAGTGAGTGAGTGAGTGAGAGAGAGAGAGAGAGAGAGTGAGTGAGAGTGAGTGAGCGTGCAATCAGCAATTATCGTAGCAGTCTATGAATAATGGAGTTTGGACCAGGCAAACCAGTGACTAAAATTATAAACAACAATCTAAGCCATTGGGTTTCAAGACACGCAAACAACCAAATCACAGAGCCTGATCACCACATCTTTAGTCAGCTTCTACAACAAATATGAGGTACTGGGTACCTATTCTGACCTGGAGCCCACTCAAGACCAAAGATGTATCTAGTATACACACCAATGTATATCTAGTTTTCACACTATAGTATACACACCAATGTATATATAGTATACACACACCAATGAATATCTAGTATACACACCAATGTATGTCTAGTATACACACCAATGTATATCTAATATACACACCAATGTATATCTAGTTTACACACCAATGAATATCTAGTTTACACACCAATGTATATCTAGTATACACACCAATGTATATCTAGTATACACACCAATGTATATCTAGTTTACACACCAATGTATATCTAGTATACACTTTAATGTATATCTAGTATACACACCAATTGTATATCTAGTTTACACACCAATGTATATCTAGTATACACACTATATAATGTTTACAAGCTTAAGACACAAGTATTCATTAAAACTCCACTCCACTCATTGATAAAAGTGGAAAAACTCCTCAGCAAGCCTCAGAGTTTTTCCACTTTTATCAACTCGTGTTCCCATATTTTATATTAAAAGACACTCGGGTGAGATTCTCTATTTAGCTTACACCTGTGTGAGTGGGCATCTGATTTCAGAAAATAAAAAATGGATGGTCTGAATCATAAATTGTACAAAGGTTCACTGTGTGTGTGTGTGTGTGTGTGTGTGTGTGTGTGTGTGTGTGTGTGTGTGTGTGTGTGTGTGTGTGTGTGTGTGTGTGTGTGTGTGTGTGTGTGTGTGTGTGTGTGTGTTCTCTATTATACTTATACAAAACTCATCCTTTGTTGTTGACTTGCATAAACACCCAACTGGACATCAGCGAGGGCTATCGTGACAAATTGTCCAGCTGTGTACTTTACTGAAGGGTTGACAATTCTCCTAACACGGTCCATAGCATCAAACAATAGTAATTTGCAGTTAGTGGTACATTGATATATGAACAAGGACTTTTTCCACGAGTGTGTCTTACAGACATTGCCACAAAGAAGCTGTATATCTAAGGCAATAAAAAACAGACAAGTCTGACTTTGGTTTTAATGAATACTTATCATAAATCCCTCATTCGGCACTTTAGCACTTGTGTACAAGAAGGTAAGACCCCATTCTTTAATTGACCATCCATCAAGCAGGCAATCCTTGGGACAAACAGCAACCCACAAGCCAGTGTCGAGAGCCATCGCCTACAATCTTGGCATTTGTCCAGCTGTAGTAATTCATGACTGTAGCAGGTACCCTAAGTTTGCGATCTCTCAGCTCCAGAGTGGCAACACGATCACAAATTAAGTAAAGTCACCAGTTCCTTAATAAATTTTGGAGCCATTATTATTTACTTTGCTTTTCATGAGGAGCATGAAGGCCGGGTGATTTATTTGGTTGGCCATTCTCTGCCTGGATGGATCCTTGCCAAGTAAAACATGGTTAGAAAAAACACAGAAATCAGAAAACACTGCTTAACGTTTCCACACAAACTGTGATATTTTAAAAGAGACACAGAAATTATCCTAACGGCATAAATATCAATCACCATTCCCAAAGTAAATTATTAGGCTTTTATTCATAGGGATAAAAGTTGTCAGTTAAACCTTGAATATAAAATATTCTCAGACAACATTTACATTAGTTAACTACAGGTAAGAGAAATAACGACACATAATTTCTCAGTATTTTATGCCATTTTCCTCTAAAACAATCCAAGTGACAGTTTAACATATTAGAGTTGGCAAACCACAGCATCAACTAATTACCAGTGATTTCTGCTCTGGAAAGAACCCAAGGTAGCTTTACTTAGAAAAATCTAAAAATACACCTTCAGGTAAAAACTTCTCCACACCTTGTAATATAAGGAAGGTTCCAGGAAGAGCATCAGGTTGGGTTACCTTCAACATGTATGTGACTTCAACCTGCTGACTTGTTAAGGAGGCCTTGTCAAGCACGAGAAATAAACGTCAGCGTTTCCGTTTGTACAAATAATTCCAGACAGTTGAAATGAGGAGATGTGCTCTGCCCGTTTCATTACAAACTAACTGCCTAATGGTATTTATTCCTTTCTAAAGACAGGATATTCCAAGTATTTGAATAAAACAGGGTGATGTTAATAACCAGTGATAGACTTGTTGAGCTTCAGTTACACTGACAGTTTACTGTATCAGCATTAAGCTAATGAGTAGCAACAGTTGTAAGGAAAACACTATTGACATGTGTCTTCATGCTCATGGACATGCAAATACATTGGGGTCATTTATTTTATCTATGACAGCCAACGAACTATTTTTTTGCTGTAAAGACAAGATATTTTTCCAGATGACAACTTCTTTATTCTATTATCTATTGTGACGCAATATTTCAGTATAGATCCTTCTACCATTGTAAAGCAAGAGAGAGTGTTTATTCTATTCTGATGCAATGTTTTGGTATAGATATGTTGCATCATCCAAAAGTAACTCATCTTTGCTGTTACTTACTAGTGCGAGGACGATACAACAATGCATCGGTGGATCGCAATATTTTACTTCCCGATACAAGTTTCGATCACAGTTGCAAACTAAGTAAAAAATATTGATTCATACTTTAAATGTTTACTTTAATGCCTGTTACACCAAACACTAATTAGTAGGGAAAAAGTAAATGTTTTCATCCACTGCACCATACTTGACACTGCCAACTGTATATCGTCAGTGTGCCAGATATTTGACTATCCTGTCTATGAAAAAGATGGCTTACGAACCACAGATATGAGGATATGAGCATCGTGATATGTATCGGATCGTGATCGTGTGAAAACCCCACTCACCAACTTTCTTGGTGATGTCATGAACAGTGAAACAGAACTGCAGCCAAGTGACAGAAACTTTCAGCTACCTCTTGTTCCATTCTACAGAGGTCAAGAGACATAGGCAACTCAATGGTCTTGTGTCATACCAAGGGGCAGGATCTGCTGATTGTTGGTTATCATGGACCTTGGTATGTCTGCACCATACCCATGCAATGTGGTCGACAACCTCCAAAACTAAACTTTGACATGCCATGCAATAACATAAGTTCTGTTCAGTCACTTGCTCCAGATATCTATTTTAAGACCTATTTAAGACCTATTTTAAGTTTGCTAAAAGATAATAGTAAATTTAGGGACCAGACTTTATGTAGGGGTGGTGGGTCAGAGGGAACGAGGGTCACCAAAAAATATCACAGAGCCTAAGGGGGTCATAAAAATTAGTAGACATTTTTGGGGAGGATCTTGAAAAAAAAGTACACGGACTTGGAGAGGGTCATTCAAAACTATTACGAGCATTAGGGGGGGGTCATTATCTGCAGTACATTAGTGCAACGCCCATCCACCCCTGTATTAAATGACTGGTCCCTCACCAAGAAAGCAGGGTTGGTGGGGCTTGACTTTTTAACCAAACTTATTAACCCCACTTTGGAACCTCAGGACGACATGATCACACTGAAACCAACTGCTGACCTCACTAGTTAGACATGGGTCCTTCTTGTCAGACATTACACAATCCGATGTTTACATTATTCACACATACTTACCATCCATAAACACATACCACCTCTTTAAGCCATCCTACCATATCGTGTTGCTGGCCTCTCCGGCGCAAATGCCTCATAAACATTTTTCAGTGTCTTGCTAATATGTCATCCATGGCTTGTCGTCATTTACAAACATACGAGGGTCACCATGCGGCCACTCCACAGTATTGTGTGAAAGAAGAATCAATTTAAACCTAACTGTATATTTGACTTGGAATCCTGGGCATGTCAAGAGACCACTAAATGCGTATTTAAATCTCTAATGGGAATTCTTTGCCATCTCATTGTGGTTACGATTCACAAGAATCATGGACAAATCTCTTTCTCCAACAAGTTATAGGTATTTATAACATCTGTACACGGACATCTACGTGACTTTGATGGAGGTTATATATGTGTAACTGCCAATGTCCAATGACTGGCAGAAATGAAGTTCTGTCATATGAGACACTGATCCCTAGATCAGTGATTGGAATTATGTTTTGTGTTACTGACTTCTTACCATTGTTGAAAGTCCTGTAGATCGGTGTTATTAACCTGTTTGTAATGCCAAAAGGGGAATAAAACCCAACTCACTCACTCACTAACCGCAAATGTGTCAGTTAGGACCTCGTCTCATGACCTGTTATTTCCTATTGTTTACATCAGCAATATTCATAAACACCATTTAATCCATAACATTTTTTAAGGTAACTGTAGAAAGTTTGGGATTGCCAATAAACTATAATACATGAGCTGTGAGTTCATCTATTGTTGGACAAAAGTCACATGAAACCTTCTGTAATGTCAAACAAGGACAACATTTTCAATTTTTCACAATAATTTGCAACATGATGTCACACTGCTGTGGGCCACTTTACAAACAATCAAAATAATTGGCATGAATTAGCCAATCAGCATGAAGCAACTACATGTACATGTATTACATTTTTCAGTGACACTTGCCAAAAGTATGCCACATATACACCAGTTGGCAAGGCCGTAGTTTACTTTTTGACAGGGGGGGGGCAGGCAGCAAATATTTGTACAAGTATCACTAAAATGTCCCAACTTGTATTTTCATGATTCAAATAAAACTGCTGTTTTCTATAAAAATCCAGGAGGGGCAACTGCCCCCCGGCTGGCTACGGCACTGGTTGGTAATATTTCTGAATCTAATTTTAACTTTTAGTCATATGTTTGT